CATTAACACAGTTCTCGATATTTGATTTTAGGTGAAATTCAGAAAGATCCATCTGTTTTAATTCTTAATTGATACCTAGTATGTGAACTAACCTAGAGTACACATTCAGAGACCTCAGTTCTTGAAGCGTGGTTACAACTCATATCAACAACATACCAGTTATGATGATCATGGATGTTGCATAAATGTCACCTTAATGCTGAAATACACAGATTATTTTTAAAAAGTCATTTAATGTACCACTTCCATAATTATGATCCTTCATAATAGCAATGTGTACGATCTGTTGAGCTACTGTCTTACTTTTAGGTGTCTCTCTGACTAAGGGTCAGCCTACAAGCACCGTCCAAATGACAAACGGGGCAAGGACCCCCTCACTGTCATCTCCTCCCAGTGGAACAAAACCACATGACTTTCAAGGAAAAGTGACACTTCTGGATGACCCAACATCAGTAACCTCAATTGAAGACCAATCATCGGGTGCTGAAACAACGCAGATGAATTTCCTTGACTTTATGGGCCCAACTGTGACACCTTCGATGGACTCGCACTCTGGGGCCACACAAAAAGTGGCACAATACTCCAACAGTCATCTCACACCACCTGTGATTGAAGCTGAAGGTCAACAATCACATGTCTCTCCTACCACAGCGAATTCCTTCAGTAGTCAAGGTCCCACAGCTGGTATGACTCCTGTGCCTCCAAAGGAGAGTATTCCAAGTCCATCATCCAGTGTAACACCTGCTGAAAGTTCAACTAGAGGAGTTAAAGATCCTACAAATGGCAAGACCCCTGCAGAAAGCCCAGAAGAAAGAACAAGGCGTGTGAAGCGAAAGATTAGTGCGGCACACACACAGACATCTCCTGTGGAGGGCCCTGCCGCCGCCCAGAGCTCACCTGTGCTAGACAATGTACCTGCTGCAGGTAACTTCTTACCAGGGTAGTATATGTAGATATAACCTATATGCCACATGTAAATACAGTGGTCCCTCGGTTAATGAGCACAATTCGTTCCAGAAGGTTGCTCGTTAACCAAAAAACTCATTAACCGAAACTATTGTTTCAATGTGTTTTGGGTAATTGGTTCCAGCTCACCGAAAATTGCCTAAAATCAACAAAAAAAAGGTAGTAAAGTACACTTACTTTGAGGTGTGTATGTAGAAGGCTCCTGGATGATGATGATGATGATGATGGGAATTAGAATGGAGGTGGAGGAGAAGGGAGAAGAGAAGGCATTAGGGTGGAGGAGAAGGGAGAAGAGAAGGCATTAGGGTGGAAGAGAAGTCACCCCATGGCGCCATTTCACCCATAAAATTTTAGTTTTCTTTTTTTTTTCTTTTTCTTTTTTTTACGGTCATTAACCCACTCATGCACAGGTCATTTTTAATGACCCACATCAAGGCCTTGGGGGGGAAGTATAATAATAAAACAACAACAACAACAACAACAATAACAATAACAATAATAATAATAATAATAATAATAATGATTAATAAAAATAAATAACAATTATAACAATTAATAAAAATTATAAATAATAAAAATAATGAGCCATAAATAAATTTAGAAAAAATGAAAAAATATCAAGAGTGAGAAATACTGTATGTATATTGTGTTGTCAAAGTAAGAGAAACAATTAAGACCCTGCAATTAAATGTAAATGAGGCAGAAAGTCAGATCAGCAACCTGGGACTTGGTCACAATTTTCGTGATGCCTGTATGGTGTGTTGACAGGCTGTTTGGCGCACAAAAAACTGGCTTCCTATACCCCGTACTTCAATTATGTTCAATAATTGTTAAAATGACTAAACATTTCAATATAAAACTTTTAAAATTATTGAATAGTACAAACTTCTTGATATTTACTAAAATAGTAAGGAATTTAAGCCCTAGAACCGATTACTGTATTGGCGGACTAATACTACAGCTAGTGAACCACCAAATGGAAGCGAAAACATGCAGAGGGGCGCTCGTTAAAAACTTGTTAATCGAGGGATTGCTCGTTAACCGAAGCTAAAAATCTTATGGAAGGTAATTAGTTAACCGAAATCTCGTTAACCGAGGCACTCATTAACCGAGGGATCACTGTACAGTATATAGATTGCTGTGGTCTTCTTCCTATCAATGTTCAAAAAAACAATAATTTCTGCCAGAGTATAAGTTACTGTATTTTAGTTCTGTTGTTTGTTTCTTATAGCCTCCAGACGTTATCTATTTATGTATGGTATTAATTGTTTCTAAGTCTCAAATTAATGGAAAATATTCCAAGTTCACAGAATTTAGCAAATTGCTTTTCGTGCAATTTACACTAGTGATGCAAATCCTTGTCAGTCTGGACTATCTGTGTCCATTAATAATCTTTTCTCTGAAAATAGGCCAATGGATTAGCTATTCTCCCCATTTTCTAACTTTAGGTCAAACAGCTGAAAATTAGCAATAGGTGATAAGTTAACCACACAGCGTTGTTCTACAGAGGATGAAGAGAACAGGGCATCAATTGGAGGGAAGACACCCAGCAGTCAAAATAGTGAACCTGGAGGTCACGGTGGGGGAGGTCAGGACAAAAGTGTCAGAAAATTTATCGGGGGTAAGGTGGGGCACGAGTGGTCTGACCAACACCTGCTATACAACGACCTCTTCAAGAACTACAACAAACACATCCGTCCCATCCTCAACCACGATGACGTATTGACCGTCCGCTTTGAGATCGCCCTCTTCAACGTCCTCAACTTGGTAAGGTGTATGAACTATGTGTAAGATTATTGTATGTATGCAGGGAAGATCAAATAGCAGTACAGTAGATATCTTTGAGAACTAGTGGTTTATCTATAAAAGTTAAGGAAAAAGAAATACAAATTGTTCTGATGATAAAGCATTGCAATAAATCTGATGTTAACACTGAAAATAGAACTATAGCTTAGAACGACACGGTTTCAACATTTGTCCCGTAAGCAGATGCGGGCAGACAAAACCTCCACATATCATGCAGTCTCCTTTCACAAAGTATATGATAAAGATGGTAATTCTGACAGAAGACTAAAAGATTTGTTCGAGATAAAGAATAATATATACTGTATATTTTTAGTCTTGAAACCCTGAAACAAGAGTGCCATATAAGGATATGTAAATGCACCATCCAAAAAATCACACAATAGAGAACAATAATAAGACTCATCAGACCCGTGTGCTGGTAATTCCATGACCCATCCTTATAGGACTCGAAGGCGGGCGTGATGGTGACCAACACGGAAATGATCATGATCTGGAAGGATCCCTACCTCACCTGGAACCCTGAAGACTACAACCAAACCACCACCATGAGGGTCCTCTACAGCGACGTGTGGCACCCTGATATTATCCTCTACAACACGTGAGTTGAGTCTCTCTCCTGTTTTGCCTTTGTAACATCATGAGACCTGTGTTATCCAACCAACTAAATCAGTTGGGATGGAACATAGGAATAATGGGGTAGGCATTATTAAAAATTAGCCAATCCTTCCAGTGTAACCAGATCTTAAAAAAAAAGAGATCTTAGAAATCAGTGCAAAAGGTTGTCTGGTCAACAGTGCACATCTTTCCAATCACTAGCTTGGTTACAACATGAGACCACTTGGAGTGGGTGTGGTTCTACCGACTCCACCTGTTCATTCGTCCCATCATTTTTCCTCGTGTCTAGGCATGAATCATCAGATTTGTGTTGTGGTCTCCACGAGTCAGGTGATTTATTCTGACACATGTAGGAGCTGTAAGTGGGATATTGTCATAGAATCCAGACCATGCATAGACACTATATTTCCATTTTCATCTATTCCCAGTGAAATTTAACATCAGTTAGTGATACACCAGGGTAATGACCACAGTTGTCATGTTAACTACCATCACATCATGGTTCCTCTAACACTGGTGTTTCTCATGTGTCCAGTGCTGACACCAGCTACGAAACTTCCCTTATCCACACCAACATCATCATCAGCTATGACGGCACCTGCAAACTGCAAATCCACGCTGTCTTCACCTCCGTCTGTGACATAGACATCCAGTGGTTCCCCTTCGACCAGCAGTCCTGTGATATGGTCTTCTCCTCCTGGACCTCCGATATAGACCAGGTAAGAGGGGTGGGAGAAGGAGTGACAAAAGAGATGGGAGATAATGGTGCTGTAGTGGAACAGACAAGGAGTGATAACAAGGATGATTCATATTCATTAAAAGTGCATTATCAAGTATCACATTCTAGTATAGTTCACTCATAAATGTTCTCTACTTGAGAATTAACTCCTGGAGACTTGTGTTGTTATTTTAATAATCAGATTGAACTGCTGTTGGGACCGTCAGACATCTCCCGCTTTCATCCCAACCACGAGTTCTTCATGGAGAATTTCTATGCCGAGTCTAAGCAGGACTTCAACCCCTGCTGTGAACGACCATTCTCCAGTAAGCTCTCCTCTTACACTCGAGTTTTCTCCTGATTTAATCCGAAGCAACTACCCGAACGTTATGATGTTAAGAATGACGTTAAATTGTCTTGTGTATATGATCAAAATGACCTCTACATACTGTAATGTGCATAATCTCCTCTTTGCCCTAAAATTATCTACCAGCTTTAATTACAATATCTCTTTTTATGTATTTTGAGTCCATTCGTTCATATCCATCGGTCACTTTCTCTCACATCTCCTCCCACTGTCTTGCCTTTTAACGTCTCATCTCTCACCTACAGTATCTCACGCCTCTCAACATCTCTCCCCTCAGTGATTGTCTACCACATCCAGCTCCAGCGAAGAGTTAAGTTCGCTTTGTTCTTCTTCATCACTCCAGGGGTCCTGATCAACATCTGTGGTAAGATGGTGGTGATGATAGAGAGAGAGAAAGAGGAAATCATTATATATACCAATATCCTTCCTTGATGTTACAACACAACACAATGTCAAAATAATGCCCCCTTTAAGATTCCAGATACTGTACATTGATGACAGCCATTGATCACACTGTTTCCACCCCTGGTCTTCCCCTGCATCTCAAATCCTCCACCCCTGGTATCCTCTTCCTCCAGCTCTCCTGGTGTTCTCGCTGCCCGCAGAGACAGGTGAAAAGATCGGTCTGGGGATCAACTCTATGTTAGCTATGATGGTGTTCCTGATGGCCATGACGGAGAACCTCCCTCCCACCGAGGACCTTCCCCTGGCAGGTGAGTCTCCCACACTTCCGCTTCAGCTTTTTCCCACAACATGTCCCCCACACATGCCGACAGTCACTCAAAATACCTGTTATCGTATTCCATCTCCTGACCTTTGACCTCTCCTCTAGGTGTGTACTATGGGGTGTGCCTCATCGTCTTGACCTTCAATATTCTGTTCTCTGTGTACGTGCTCAACCTGTCCTATTCGGGTGACCGAGGTTATCCAGTGCCACTCTGGTTCAGGTCAGTACCATGAAATGACAAGTGAGGTCAAATCAGCACTCCCTTAGGTCAAGTGAAGTCAATTCAAAACCAAGATAAGTTAAGTGATGTCAGGTCACTGCCAAGTCAGGTCAAGTGAGATGATGTCATTGCCATGCTCGGTTAAGGGAGGTAAAGTCATTGACATACTAAGTCAAGTAGGGTGAGGTCAGTGCCATGCTAGGTCAAGATAGGATACATTAGTGCTATGATAGATTAGATGAAGTCAGGTCAATGCCAAGCTAAGTTAGGTCCAGTGAAGTCAGTGATAGCTATCTATTATAAATTACCACCATAAATTCAATCATTTCAACTACTTTTCCTGTATGTATATTATAACTACTACTGTATCCTCTTTCTCTCTATCATCTTAACCACTTTCTATCCTCCTCATAACTATCCACAACCTCCTCATAACTATCTACAGCCCCTTCATAACTATCCTCACCATTAGTCACATGTAGCCTTCATCATAACTATCTTCGGCAGGTATTGGACGGTGTTTTGTGCCCGGATGGTGAGGATGAAGATACCCAAGTTTATAGTCGGCGCCTGGAACCTGGATGAGGTATGTGTGGGGAGGGAGGGAGGGGGGGAGCACATCATTCTTTTTGTCACCCATACCCATTTTGTTCTATGGTAAGACATGATTTCCAGTATTGTGCCATACATAGTCATTCATCTGTATAACACTTCATTCATCCACCGCACTGTCATAAATGCTAGCTTTTCTATATTCAGTAATAATAATTCAGTAGTCATCTGCAGTCGCTCAGTGGCGTAGCGTGGGCTTTTAGCAGGGGGGCTAAGGGTTATAGATTTCCCACTGGACAGGACAAGGAGTTACATAATGTAATATTCAAAATATAAAAATATTCATGTTACAAAAATGATAATTAATCTAGTTCTAATAAAGTCATAGGGCTGTATGACAGGCAACGGGTTATTTAATATTAGGGTAGGCAAAAACAAAATATATGGATCATAGAAATTAAACTACTGTACTGTATTATGTAAGTTTATCTCATCAGACAATAACCTGTGTCAATGACCACATCATAATTCGGAGACTGTTGTGCATATTCCCATCTAATCCTTAGAATAACCAAGTTTGAAAAATGTTCTTCTGATATAGATGATTGGAGGTAAGATTTGGTTTGTTTCATCAAACCAAACAATCTACCAGCACTTGAAACAGGGATAGTCAGGAAAATTCGTTTTAAGCATCATTACATTGCAAAATGCATGGAGCAAATGACTTGTATGTAGAAATTGCAGCAATTCTTCCAGTGTTTTGGGGATTTCTTTGTTAGTTAACTCAGTGTTCCAATTTGAATAAAGTGATGTCATAATTTTGTTGAACACAGGCTTACAAATGACATCTTGGTATACTTCACACAACCTCTGTAATTGTGAGTGCATTGTTTGACATAATGTTGGTTAATTTACCATAATTAGCACAATAAGCAGCAAATAAAGAATACCAGTGGGCACATATTTGCTACCTACTGAACTGGAGCACTCATAAACCCCTCCTGCCCTGCGTGTTGCTCTAGCCATGTAGTAAAAGATGCTGCCGCCTACAGCAGTGACAGTGATGCCAGTTACGGAGATTGTAATATCGGTAAAATCCTTTGTAGTAATACAGTACTGTACACAAATTCGGCAACTTTTCCGTGACTAATACAGTACAGTATATTTTTTCAAACAACTATGTCACAAGCTAAGCCATTCTATAATGGAATGTACTATGAGAATGTAATTAAAAATTGGGTTCGTTGCATTTTTTTTTTTTTAAATCTAGCTCCAGATTCCCCCATCCAGCTACGTCACTTCAGTCATTGTCATAAACACTCTCTTTTCAATATAACAATAGTTCATCACTCTCCTGAAGGCTCATACCTCCTCGTTTTGTTGTATATGACTTCATTATTCCTAACTCAGAACCTAAGGATAAGGAAGGACCAAGTGGAACCCTTAAGTGATGATGACGACGATGAAGACGTAAAGAAAAACTTTGATGTACGAGTTATCAAAGTGAACCCCGCTACCATCGAGGAGAAAACGGACGTGTTCAAGGGTATGCTACTTGATGTTTTGGTTTCTACATAAATTATGTAAGGCTTTGTTGTTCTCATTCAGAGGTATTATCTTAAAATTTTATCTACAATGGTCAATCGTTGCTTGAGATAAATTGCAAATAAGTAGATAACTGTACCTAGATGACATATTAACTCACTTGCATTAACTTTGTGTTGTACTAGAAAAATAATGTGACCATAATTAGGTGGATGCCGGTAAAAAGTTCGTTTGTTGTTTCCATGAATATGTTAGGTGGAGAGAATGCCAATTGCAGCCCAATATTCTTACTGGGACAGTTTTTATGACAAGTTAACGAGTTTTAGGAATTACGTACATTACCACATATCCCTTCCTATTTTCTAGACCCGTTTCAGCGCCGCTCCATAGAGGCTTTAGAAGGGATTCATCGGCTACTGTCAAAAGAAGCCACAGATCATAAGGCTCAGCTTAAGAAGACATCACTGATGGAGCAATGGAGGTACCTCTCCCGAGTCATGGATCGCTTCCTTTTCATCCTCTTCGGCATTGGGACTCTGCTCTTCAATACTATCATTCTCACTCAGTCACCATTTGGAGAAAAGTTTGAGTACTGTCCCCACGGGTTTGGCATGTGCTCTGACGACTACAGCTTCGACTCCTCGTCATCAGAGGCAGGTCACTTCTAGTCATCTCCACCTTTCACATCTCAAGGCATCCAGTGATTGGTTCTTCGCTTCATGATGATAGCCAGTGTTCCTCCCACATACGAGTATAACATACAATCTGAAATCTAAAACAGCTTAGCCTAAAGTGATGTAGATATTAGCTGAGATCAAGGCAGTTGGTGGCCATTTAACACAAATCATAATGCTGACATTGCACAGTCGCCTCTTGTTGAAATTGCTAGGATATAACCAAAGAATTCCCTGATTATCACTTTCCTTGATTATTCATGCTGGAGATCATGGAAATCACCTATTATGGATAGGATGACCTTAGAAATTTTATTCGTGACTAGAAAGGTCACTGAAGAATTTGGAAAACCATTTGAATAGTTTAATGATACAGAGTAACAGCCATGGAGATATCAATGCACTGAGACTCAGGGCCATATGGAGTCCATCAAGCTGATTAAGTCATTAGAAAATTAAGATCATTGAAGGTTAGACCATGTAATTTACGTCGTGACAAAGGATTAATTTCAAAGACTACGTACACTGAGGCAAAGGGTTTTGGACATTAAACAATATGGAGGATTAAATTATGGAGTAAGGACCATTATAAGTGATGCAAAAATATTTTTTCTAGACAGGCAGAAAAAAGCAAGTCAAGCTTAAAATAACAATAAAAAATACTTCATCTTTAATATTCGAATTTTTTGTTATAAAGGAATTTTGAGACCTGCCAGGCATAAGAGGCAATGTTTAAGACACCAGAAACTAAATTTTGAGGGATAAGTATGCCAGCATAAACCCTCAAAAGATATGTACTTTGCACCAACTGCAAATATAGATACTGTACTCAACAGTGCTGCAAGTTAGGTTGTGGAGAATAAGCAGCATAGAGATTTTTAACGATGAGAATTATTTGGAGAATAAAATCCACTGAGATTTATATTATGAGAATCTAGCTTCATGGACATTCAGATCAAACACCATGATGGGTTGTATTATCAGTATGAAAAGTAACAAACGTGGAATGACAACCTATTAACGAGTCTCCTAAACAGTGACTGCCTATGTATCAAGGACCCCTATACCTTAATGAAACTTTGGGGTCTCAATTCCCCATGGGCCCCATATGGTAAAAAATTTACTTACCATATACTGTAGTCGTGAGTCACTTGTTCATTTCTTCTTGGCAAGATTGCAGTTGATATCTCATGAATGCATGACCAGCAGGAAAATAATGAAACTGATGGAAGACCAGATACCGCGAGACACTATGATACACACACTGTTAGTAAACAAAGGCAGCCGTGGACTCGTGGGTACTTCTGGGATATAGAGTTTAACCCTGCTATAAACTATGTTCAAGTGATACGATTAAGAGGACTCGCAGTATACAGTATGTACCACTTTTATTTTAATAGAAAAGTCTTAATACAGTAAAGTGGAAGGTCTAAGGAATACAAATCAACTCACTCAAGAAATTATGAGTGGAATTAATTATATATGTGAGGCCATGACTAGTAATTGTGTAGTGTATGGTTGCTAATCAAGCTACAAACACAAGGGGAATATTACATTTCACAGGTTTTCCAAGAATAAAGAGATGGGTTTACCACTGCAGAAGGCAAGATTCCATTAATGTTAACAGGGCAGTGATATGTAGTGTGCATTTTAAACATAGTGGGTTTGAGAGAAATTTGAACAATTCAGTCAACCAACACTAAAATGTCAAGTAAGATTTAAGGGGCTATCACACTGGGCAAATTTTCGCATTGCCTCCAAAGAAAATGCGAGTTCCCAAGCAAATTTTCACTGCATTTCGGGTCCAGTTGAAGTTTTATAATATTTATAATTGAAAGGCATTGATTTTATTGAAACAATATATTAGCAAATAATTTTAAGTGACTTTCATGCAAGTATATTAAATACATACAAATGAAAATTACAGATAACATTTCATTTGACTTTTGTTAGTGCAGCCAGCATGAATTCTCAAACCTCACAAATTATTTGGACAAGGGGGTCTGAAACTCCCCATATTGATAAAGAGAGTGAATGCAGAGTATTGCAGGATTTCAGAATCTATTATCTCGAGAAAAGCTTGAAACGACAACTCTTTTGGACAACCCACCATCTTCGTTATTGTTTTGTTCAGTGATGGCGATACACGAACTGTGCTAAAACTGTCCATGACTGGAAAAGTTTTTCCCCCTCCAAGAATGAAGATGTGAGAATGGCAAAAATTTTGCCTAATGTAATAACTCCTTAAGGAAAGATAAATCCCAACACTGCAATTACCTGCAACACGGGTAAGACCATTAAAGATGTGGTATGACCGTACAATTTTAAACTAGTATTATAACTCGTGTTATGCAAAAAATATTACTCTGTCCAATTTAATTATACTGTACATGATATATGAGGAATGGTGTAATATGAACACGATGAGTGGTTATGCTCTCTTTAAACTAGAGAATAATAGTGTAAAATGTTGTTTACAATTTGATTACATAGCCTATTGAGGTGCTTGTGATCCTTAAGTACTACACTTCACAAATTTCAGTTTAGTGGTGTGTTCTCTCCCTTTGATGCCCAGTACATAAGTACAGCATGCCCTGACAATTTGCAGATTTTTAATTCGCGCTTTATAATTAAAGTTAACTTTAATAACAAAGCACAGAGTTGACTTGGGGGTAGACTCTCACACTTTTAATACATTTTTGTGGTCTTGTTTCTGATTATTTGAGAGAATTTTCCCATTACCGTACGTATTATATGTTTGTATGTGTTTTGTGTCTGTTTCTACACACACATATACAATACAGGTAAAAGAAATAATTGTCTAAAGTGCAAACACAAAGGGAATATACATTTCTTTGCAAACATTCTAAATGAATAATTAAACACTATCCTATTATCTTCAGTAGCACACATTTTATTGTGAACTTCAAACTCTTAAACTGTCAGCATACCAGTAAATTATTTAACACCAGTACACAAACTATACAAATCAGATACAGTTTATATGTAAAGAAGTATACAGGCAGTCACCAAGTTACAAACGGCCAGCTTACTAATGGGATCCCAATATATTCATCACAAACTGAAACTAAAATCCCATTTTTTACATTAATTTCACTATTCTATATTATTTAATATCACTTTACTATATATATATATATATATATATATATATATATATATATATATATATATATATATATATATATATATATATATATATATATATATATATATATATATATATATATATATATATATATATATATATATATATATATATTATATATATATATATATATATATATATATATATATATATATATATATATATATATATATATATATATATATATATATATATATATATATATATATATATATATATATATATATATATATATATATATATATATATATATATATATATATATATATATATATACTGTATATATATATATATATATATATATATATATATATATATATATATATATATATATATATATATATATATATATATATATAGACAGTGACCCACAACGGGGCCTAGGGGTCGAAAAAAAATAAGAGTAAAAAGAAATTTAAATATACAAAAGAAAAAGATAATATTAATCTACACCACAAACATGCTAGAAAACCAACCTTTTGAAGTGAGATTGTATGAGTATGGAAACACAGAAGGCAGAGCATTTCACAGTTTGGCTGTGTGAAGAAAGAAAGATGTACTATAATGGGTTACAGTAGTATTCTAGTGTGACCAACATCCACTGAGAAACGGTGGCCACAGCGGGCAAGACGAGTGTTACAAGCCCACGGCCTTGCCGGCGGTACACAGAATGCCAAATCCACCGAATTTTGCCCGTTAAAGTCCCTGTAAAAGGGAGTGTGAAGCAACATTGCGGCGAAGAAAAGGGGAAGAGAGATTATCAACTAAAGGAGGAGAGTTAATAAGACAAAATGCCTTTGATTCCCCCCTATCTAACAGTTGGACAGAAGAAGAGCCACCCTAGGCATGAGAGCAGTACTCCAAGTTAGGATGAATGAATCCCTTATAAACTTGAAGCAAGTGCCCAGGAGTGAAGTAGCTACGGCATCTGTACAGCATTCCCAATTTCGGGAGGCAGCTTTAGCAATGTTGTGGATGTGTATTGGATATTAATGTTGTTTTGTATAGGCAGGGTTGTGCTTTAACTTAACCTTACCTATGGAACTATCACTTTTCCAACTTATGAACAGGGTCCAAGAACTAACCCATTTGTAGCTCGGGGACTGCCTGTACACATAAAATAAAGTATGTACAGTATAACCACAAATATGAAATTTTTTAACATACACAGAACAATTACACAGGACCCCATCTAAAAACACACATATAAAAGCATTAATACTACAGCAAAAATGTATCTATAAATTTGTCGAACGGAAAGCCACAAAAAAGACACTGTACAACTTTAAATCCTTAACCATTCACCACAAACAAGGTAGAATGATAGAACTTTTCATCGTGTTTGTACTAGCTGACCTAATTTCCACGCCAAAACCCGTCTCATGTGGGGGTTTTTTCTGAATTCTTGTGTTAAATTGAAATACTATATTAATTCACCGCAAAAGGTAGTGAACAAATTGTCATCATTTTTTAGGTAATGATGTGTCGAATGTTTGTAAATGAGTAGTTTGAGATGATTTTTTATTTGACTATTGATTTATTTCACTATAAAATAAAGTGCACTCGTTTATAGTAAATCTATCAATAATTTTTTTGGGCCAATATACAGTATCAGTATGTGAGCACAACGTGGCACTGAGAGGAAGCAGGAGGCGTCATCACACTTTATATGTGTTACTAGTTATATCATAAATGTATCACAAGATTTTCACATTACATTTACAGTATAAACAGCACTGGAAATAAACATCACTAAGCACTACATACAGTATAAACATAATCTATAGGCTTACAGATACACCGACATCTTCGTCTTGTATAAAGTTTACTCTCACACCTCATGGAGTAATGGGTGTTTTTCTCATCATAGCATGAGGAACTACAGCACATACTGTAACCACCACCCCCCCCCCCAAATCTTTGCTGAAGTTTTCCCAGATGTAAACTGGTCTCCAGCTGTCATGTTCATAGACAACAGGTACAGGTAACTCGCATTTTACACGCGTTTGATTTAAGAGTTTTTGGAATAACCAGATTGTTCAATTAATACCAAAAGCTATTTTACGCGCACCTATTTTTGAAATACGCACTCAAGACAGTTTAAATTCGCCGCACGTATTCGCCTGGTCGCCTGGCAGCGGAGTCGCACGTGATGCCTGGTGAGGTACTTGTAAGTTATTACTATAAAGTCACAGTCATATCAACATCAACGATTTTAATATTAATAATAATAATAATTATTATAATAATGTAATATTAAAGATTATTCCTACTAATGATGAAGATAATGAAGTATTCTGTACAACAACTGTGGCCACGTCCAGCAAGCTTCCCGCGTATCGCTTCCTCAGTTCACACCAGCCCTACTTTTTCTCTGTGCTCTCATTTGCATTGTGTTATCACGTACCTTTTTAGTGTTAAGGGCTGTTTTCCCCATTGAGCATGTCTGGAAAACGTCCATCTGCCTCCTCTGGGGTGCCTAAAGCTAAAAAGGCACAAAAAACAATCGCAATGGACGTGAAAGAGCACTGTGAGAGCACTGTTTGTACCCTGTACGGTATATGATGGTTCCTCTAACCTGTACCATTTACATGTACGTATTCTTATGGGAAAATTAAGTTCAATTTACGTGTTTTGGAATTAAGAGTAAGAACGTAACCCTCGCGTAAAACGAAAGGTGGGTGTACAGTAAACTATATCAGCAAAATGACGGCATTAAATATTCACTACAATTAGCATATGAATCACAGTTAAATATCGATTAAATGTGCTCATTGGCTTAGGCCTAACAAATTATTTATTTTACCATGTTAGAAGCTGAGGTGTCATACACGCAGCAGACCGATTAATTTGACTTAACAGGACCTATTGCCACCACTTAAAGGGTCATGTGAGGTCACACACATAAAGGGAGTGGGGTGGTTGAGTGTGAAAGACAGTGCAAGTGTGTGTGGGACAATATGAGTGTGTGTGTGAGACAGTGCGAGTGTTAGGGGGAATGTGCAAGTGAGTGTGTTAGGAATGATGTGAGTGTGTTAAGGATGATCAGAGTGCGAGGAACAGAGTGAGTGTGTTACAATGATGTGAGTTTTAGGGATGATGCACATATGTGAGTGTGTTAAGGACAGTTTAGGTGTGTTAAGACCAATATGAGTGTGCGAGGGACAGTGTGAGTGTGTTAGGGATGATGTGAGTGTTAGGAATGATGTGTGTGCGAGGGACAGTGTGTGAGTGTTAGGAATGATATGAGTGTGTTAGGAATGATATGATGTGTGTTAGGAATGATATGAGTGTGTTAGGAATGATGTGAGTGTGTTAGGAATGATGTGAGTGTGTTAGGAATGATGTGATCATGTGAGAGACTGAGTATATATTGTTAAACCTGGACGGCTATTTGGGAGATCATATTATTTACTCCTACATTTATTTGGTAGGCCTGTGTTCTTTGGTGGGTCTGGAGCTGCTTGCCCATCCACTCCTGTCTCTGTCAAGTAGTGTTGGAAGGTACTGGGCATGTAAAGGCTTTTATGTGCACCTCAACATGTGCCAGTGTTGATAAATGTATATTAAACATCTTACATCCACAGTCAACCCACTAACTACTACCTTATCTACAACATTGTCACCCTTTGCTCTTGTTCAACCACTTGGCTTATCATCCTGTTTAAAGCAATTGGGTGTTGCTTTCATTGTCAAAACCAAGACAATGTCCAGCAACAAGTCACAAGATAATGAAAATTTGAAGATTATTCAACTTTTTAATGTTTATAAAAGAAGTGCTTAGCTTTTTATATTACTGACCTTAAAGTGATGAGCAGCAGATTATCGGTACAGTGGTCCCTCGATTAACGAACACAATTGGTTCCACAGAGTCGTTCGTTAACCGAAAATTTCATTAACCGAATCTATTATTTCAATGGGATATTGGGTAATTGGTTCCGACTCACAGAAAAAGTATTCATACAAAGTACTGTATAACGGTAATAGAGTTAATAAAACATTAAATATAAACTAAATACAGTAATGTACTGTACAATAATAAATAAAAGACAATAGAATACTGTATTTTAACTTACTTTGAGGTGTGTATGTAGTATTCCCGGCAGCTTTGTTTACATATCAAACAGCTGATTGTAGAGGCAGTCGATGAATACATGTCATATTCTTTACAGAGTGCGTTGGTTCTAATGCCTTCTTCGTGTTTCATAATAATTTCTGCACTGTATATTATCAATATGTTAACTAAATTTCAGAATAACCAATAATTTTAATGTAAAAATGCAAAAATATTCAAGAGACCAACAAACTGGATGTTCACTCCACTGTAAACAAAGTTAAACTAAGAAGCGTTGTTGGGTGATTCAATCAGCTGATGGGCGCACAAAAACTGTTCCCTGTACTGTATATATTATCAATATGTTAACTAAATTTCTGAATGACCAATAATTTTAATATCAAAAATGCAGAAATATTAAAGAGCACAACTTTCTTGATATTTACTCCACTGGAAACGAATGTAAACATAGAACTGATTACTGTATTGGCGGACTGGCCGATCAGCTGATGCGCACAACAAAATGTGTTACTCGTAAGGCTTTCGTTAATCAAAGTTTTGTTCGTTAATCGAACTGAAAATCCTTATCGGAGCTATTTCGTTGATTGTACAGTTCGTTAATCGGGGGATCACTGTACAGTATTAGGCAAAGAAATAGTTTAGGAAGGATCCACTTCAGGACAATCTTAATATCTTTACATCCCAAAATACCTGTTCCTCAATCTGGATTTTTGGCCAGAATCTTTTAATTTAATTAAACAATATGGACCATTAACAACTAACACAAAAATATTTCCATGACAAGTTGAGAGACCAAATGGACATATACGGATGTTAAAGACAACATCATTACAAATACAATGGAAAGGAAGGAGGGGGAAATAGACATGCAAATGCTGAAACGAGTGGTTGGCTTTGCATGCGAGTAACTCATCATAAATGTGGGGATCTATCATAAACGCATAGTACAACTAGTGAGAATAATCATCCCTAAACTCGAGCTAAGGAGGGACGTCCTGAAGGCACTGAAACTTAAGCACTTATAGTACAGCAATGTCAAATTCACAGTACCCGTATATGCCATTATGTAAATGTTATTGCAATGTAAACAAAATCTAATATTTTTCACAGTAAAAAACCATCCTGAAAATGGATTGACGAAGAATGCCACTTAAAGGTAAACAAGGTAAACAAAAAATTAATGTGCTTTACAAGGCTTATCTCAAAATATTATTTGATCATGTATAACATTCATGTTGAATTTTCTCTGACCACAATGATTTTAGGACCTGAGTGCATGTGAATTATGGATCAGTTGGAGCAGGGGAGCCATAACCCCTCCCCCCCCCTCCCCAACACACCGCCGACACTCTTGCCTCAGTTTCCCAGCACCTTAAGTAATTCACTTAAAAAAAAAAATTTATTACCAGATAAAGTCTTCTTCCAAGAAAATTCTGGAAGCTCATCTGTTAAACTGGTCAATATGGCCAGTCTCTTATGAAAACCTTACTTCTTTTATGATTATTGAACAATTATGAGGACTCCTGGAGCCAGCAAAAAGGTCTTTCACTATTACTTAGTTGCATACTTGCAACACTAACAAAAAATAAGTGACTTTCTGAGTAAGCATCATATAACAATGTTAACAACTTCCTACAAAACATGGCATATTGGGTCCAGATTTCTTGAAAAATGTTTCAATTCAATGTTATACAATTCAGTCTTTAAAAGTGCAATGTCAAATCATAAACAGTGACCTAAGAATCATCAGATTGTCAAAGTCACTACAAAAATGCACAATATAACATGTGTAATAAATGAATATTGATACACACTTATGGTTTAGTCTTTATTTCACAAAAACTCAAGCTAACATGTACTGGAAAGGAAGTATTTATGGAATTATAAACAAAATAACAAACTTGATGTTCTAAATACCATGACTGAATGATGAAAACATTTGCGGTAAGATAACACAACTTTTTTCAACTATACAGTAATAATTGCATATTATCATTTTCTAAAATGTTCTTAATCATTAGATAGGATTCAGCCATGGCTTTCTCACTAGTTTAGGTGGAACTGTAAAGCATATGCCTAATCTAATGACTCCTTCAAACTGATGAGTCTCTTCTGAGCAATGTAATGATGAACTCACAAATAAGGCATTAAACAATCACACAAAAAAAAATCATGTTCCCTCTATACTGTACAGCATTACATGAAACACACCCATAGTCTCCCACTCAATGCCACAAGTTTTCTGATTACAGCTTGCACTATCTATCGCCTATCCTTCCTGGTTCCCCTTCTATCCTTATCCATGTTCCTACTCCCACTCTTCTCCCTCCTCCGTTCCCTACTCCTATCCCTTTTCCTTTCTCTACTCCTACTCCTACCATTCTTCTTAGCTCGATCTCTATCTCTTCGCCGTTCTGCATCCCTTTCTCTAACCCTGTCCGCTTCCTTTGGTTTACGTAATTGTTCTTTTTCCTTTCCCTTACCATCTTTATCCTTATTCCTCTCTTTCTTTCCTAAATCTTTCTTGGACTTATCATCATCACTCTTTCCTTCTTCTTTCACTTTCCCCTTGGCTGACTTTCCACCATCTCCTATTATCTTTGCACTGATTTTCCTTACTTTTTTCTTTTTTTCCTGTGTTTCACTATCACTGCTGCTATCATCACTTCTTGACGCTCTCCCTCCCCTTCTTTTCTTCCTTTTCTTTTTCCCATGATCGGAATCCGAGTCTGTGCTAGAGCTAGAACTCGAGTCACTCTCAGAGTCTGAGGAAGAACCAGAAGAAGATCCTGACGAAGAGGATGAACTGTCAGAGTCTGAACTATCACTATCGCTACTTTCACTGGTTGTGTCACTACTGCTATCATCACTGCTACTGTCATCTGAAGAGCCTGAGTCTTTCTTCTTACCTGGTTTGTCCTTTTTTTTGTCTGCCTTTTTCTTGTGTTTATCAGCCTTGGGTGTCTTCTTTTTATCTTCTCTGAGTTGTTTGACTTTAGAAGATTTCTTGGGAACCTCAGCAGGTTTTAACTCCTCCTTTGGCTTCTCCTCTGGCATTTTAATATTTTCAGGATGAGGATCTTTATCCCACGGAGGTTCAGGTGTCTCTGACATAGTTGTATCTGCTTTAGGAGCATCAGTTTGCTGATCATCATCTTCTTCCATGTTTTCTTCAGCTTTGTCATCTAATTCTGGTGCTTCAGGAGGAACAGCAGAAGGGGAAGGAGGAGGAGAAGGCCAATTTGAGCCCATAAATGGGGAACATGTGTTGTAAGGAGGGGAATGAAATAGGTTGTAAGGAGGGGAGTGAAGTGGGTTGTAAGAAGGGGAAGGAATTGAGTTACAAGATGGGAGATGGGGATCTGGGGCATCATCAGGAGGTAGTGGAAGTGTAGAAACAGGAGGAGGAGGAAGAGGTGGTAGGGGCTCTGTAACAACAGTGGCAGGAGCAATTTCTGCATTTTCATTCTTCTTGGTTGTACTGGGTGTTTTGTCTGGCTTCTCTTCCTTAATGATCTTCAAAATTGGTCTCGAGTCAGTTGAATTTGTCTCATCATCTTTTTCTATTTTTATGTGAACTATAGTTGTTGCCAAGTCAGAATCAATGTCTTGTACTTTGTTTAGGTCTTTACCTTTACCCACTTCCTTCAACTTTTCCCTTTCTGAATCTTTAATGCTATCCCGTGATCTCTCTCCTTCCTTTTCTTTATCCCTACCACTAGGCTTATCCTTTCCTTTATCCTTCTCTCCCTCTTTATCTTTTTGTCTCTCTTTTTCCCTATCCCTCTCTCTTCCCCTATCCCTATTCTTCCTATCCTTATCCCTGTCCTTACTCCTATCCTTCTCTTTGTGTTTCTCCTTCTCCCGACTCCTATCCTTTTCCTTCTGCCTACCTTCATTCTCCTTTTCACTGTCATTACCCCCACCCACTGTAGTGTTTGGTGCCCCACTTTCCTCAGTCTGATTTGCAACTATCTCCACCTTTCTTCCCCCATCCCCCCGCCCATCTACCTGGACTACCATACGCTCAGTGTCGTCGTCATCCTTACCTGACAGGTCTGCCTCATCATACACTAGCTCTCCCTCCTCAGCCTCGTAATCTAACAAATCTGAAAAAAACAAAATTATATCTTAAGCTCACAGTAATCAACACAAAACAGTTTTAATATGGTCAGCAAAGTGAACACTCAATTACCTTTTATCTTCTTTCTGCCATTCTTACAAACACTGAGACTCAGAAATAATTTAAATAGTATGTATTACAAACAATTATTAATTTTATATTTAGCTTCATCAAATAAATATTAACTTTCAACCTTAATTTATAAGTCAGAACTGAAATGTTAGCTAGACATTTTATGTAGGATATGACCTGCAGCTTTCTTACATTAAAGTCTAGTGGGGCACTTCAATATGCTAACAGCAAATTATCAAGTAAATTGTATGGTACTTAGGAAGAACTATTACCAATACATCATGGAATAGTAAAGAGGCATTGAATCAAAGGATACAACCCTCAAAGTCACCTGTGGGCCACTATAAATGGTGTAAATTCTCTAACATGTTCACAAATAGACAATGAAGAACCGCATGAACAATCAATTTACAGTCTTTCATGGTGCAAGAGAAACAAGAACTACCCGAGTGATAATGAGTACGAAATAAAACTCAGGGTGCTAGCTAGGAATAAAATCTTGGTGTGAGCCTTAAGTGTTATGAACCATATTATTAAAACACTTTTGCTGGAGGGCTAACTTAGACTTGTAGTGGTGTGAGTTGAATACAACGGTTTTGGAACTTGCAAATCAGATGTAGTTGAAATAAAAAATAAAAACAGCCTCTCACCACCAACCCTAAATAAAGTGCTACTGAACCCAATATCAGCATCAAATTGGATATTATCACCCCACAGGCCAGACATCTATTTATCTTATAGAAAACTATTCCCAAATAGGAGATTGAGCTGTTAACACCACAAAATCTGTGTTTCCCTAACACACAGACAGACATGGGGTAATTTACATTTGAACTTATTGTCAAATTGCTAAACATTTATCAAAGGAAACAAAGGTGAACAACAATTATGTTAAGAAAATACAAAATACAAGTTAATAGCAGCAGACAGTAACCAAACAACTGATCGTAGCAGGCGAGCAGATGCACCCACTAGGAATTCATTTATTTTTTTACTTATTTTTTCTTAAATAACAAAGCAAGTTCAACAAAGCCTTATTTATGCATAGAAATATAAAGTGTACTAACAAATAGAATTTAACACTCACCTGATACGGTGGATGAAATTGTTTATAGAGGATACTTAAAGTAGTGACAGTGGTACGTATATTTTGAATATTTCATTACAATAATTTAAAATGTAATCTATGAAATATATTAATAGCTTTTTGTAATAAAATGTGCTTTGAGGAAATAATTAAGGTAAGATAAATCTCTACTGACTGTACTGTACAGGAAGATCTCAAGAAAATTTTTACATGGTCTGAAAAATGGCAGACGAAATTTAATGTGGACAAATGTAAACTACATAGTCTAGATGTAAACAGAGAAACCAGATATCAGATGAACAACATTGTTATACAGAAATCTGACCAGAAAGATTTAGAAGTAATGATAAGTAGGAATCTTTAACCAAGTCAACAATGTGTATTTGCTCGAAACAAGGCTAACAAAGTACTTGGGTTCATACAAAAGTGTGTTAGTTACGAGACTAGCGAGGTTATCCTAAAACTATATCTTGCGCTTGTGAGACCCCATTTGGATTACGCAGTTCAGTTCTGGTCACCATACTACAGAATGGATATTGAATCCCTAGAAAGAATTCAAAGGAGAATGACAAGACTAATCCTGGGCATTAGGAACCTTGAGTCCAGAGACAAGTTAAAGCATCTTAATTTGCACTCCCTTGAGAGACATAGAGTGAGGGGCGATATGACCAAGGTGCATAAATGAAAGTCGAGGCTAAACAAAAGTGATATAACAAAGGTACTCAAACTATCCAACCAGGAGGAAACTCGTAGCAATGGTTTTAAATTAAACAAATTTAAAGTTACGCACGAGATAGGTAAACATTGGTTTGAAAATAGAGTAGTGGATGAGTGAAACAAGTTACCAAACATCATCATTAACTCGAAATTGCTGGATAGCTTCAAATATAGGTTGGATGGATATATGAGCGATAGGGGTTGGGTGTAAGGTAAATGGGACTGCCCAGTATGGGCCAATAGGCACCCTGTAGTTTCCTCCATTCTTATGTCCTTAAGTGCATCTTGATGGTAGGGGGGTGAAAGAAGCCCTCTTTATAACTGACAGGGCTTGCACCTATTAATCAAGTATAATCCGACATTTTTTGCTAGATTGGGATAGCTTCCTGTTTATATAACTTATTGGATATTAGTTTATATATGGTAAAATTAGCTTTGTTTAATCAAAGATGTTACAGTATTTATAAACTTCAAGAGAAATACTTGAAATGTGCAGATAAAGACAAATTAGATACTTTGGTCATATAATTAGGGATGAGGGAATAATAAAAAAAAATATTAATGGGCAAAGTTGAGGGTAGGAGGGCCAGGGGAAGGCAGAGCCTGGGATGGATGAATGAAATTAAAAACTGGGTCCCCAGAAAGATACAAAACCTTAAGAGGGTTTGTAAAAACAGCCCAAGAATGTCGGATATTTTGTTTAAGACTTTTTTTATAACAATCTTTGTAGTAAATTCATATTTATAACACAAGTTGAACAGAATCCATGGATAAAAGTTTTACAAATTTTTTCTAGCCGTAAATATTTTTTAACGCGTCCTCGCACTACAAAAATATCATATTTTGGAGGGTTTTTTATATATATTCATTGAAACAAACCTTTACATAAACTATTCAGGATCATCTTGGTATAAAAAATGGGGGGGCCCCCACTTCTAACTGAATTCACCGATTCTATAGACTCCGGTGAAAATATTTACAGCTCCTCCCCGACTTACGACCTGCCTCAGTCGTACCAAAATTTTGTCAAATTACGTATTTTCGAGTCCCAACGTCAGTGATTGCGCTGTGTACTGACAAAATTTTCGTTTGTAATTCACTTTAAAATGGCTGGCAAGCTTAAAAGTGAGTTTTGTGGTGCTGAGAAGAAAAAGAGACACCCATTTTAGATTTTCTATGTATCATTTAAGCATTTTCGACTTACGACCTAGATTTGGGTCCCTAACCTCGTCCTAAGTCGGGGAGGAGCTGTATATATTTTCTTCATAAAAGATTCGAGTTCCAATCATATATCTCAAAATATTGTTTTTAAGAATATTTTATACAAACAACCTTATAGAGAATTATAACGATTCTTTGGATAAAAGTTTATACACTTTATCACTAGCTGTAAATATTTTCACTTGTGGCTATGGCCTAATATAATGGGAGTGATAAGAGAACCGAACAAAGTAGAAGAGCATTTCATATGGTATACTGTACAATATTATCGCACTATAATATGCCTGTTTATAAAATGTAGAAGTACAGGGTATATAGTACGTGTTGAAAATAAAGTACATGTACTCTACTCATTATTAACTTATCATGAGGCAGTCGAGTCTTGGGTTGATTCTACAACACAATTTACATTACCTAAGGTAATTAACTGTATGTACTGTGCATTATTTATATTTCTTAGATACTTCACTTTAGTGCTATTGAGCAACCACCTCCACCACAGTGGCAGCCCTCACTTATGCAAACTTTTTCCCATACTAACCAGATTTTATTTATTTTTTCCAGGTTGAGATACATGTGCCCAGTGCAGAACCCCAGTCCTGTTTACAAGGGGATTCGGATTAAGCGAGTCCGAGTTAGAGGGCGTTTACTGTATCGTCAAATGGGGAACTTCAGCCGAGGCTGGGAATAAGCCCAACTATTATGGAAATACACATTTGTTCAGGCCAGTTTCACTTATGCTGATCTTTTTCTTGAAAAAACATCCACTAGCATTAAATAAGGACAGTTTGTATTCAGATAATCAAATATGATTCTACCAATACACTGTGATCAAGCAAGTTTTCTTCATTCTAGATCTGTAGTATTCAGCCACAACTGATCTTATACTGTATAAGGTAAGCATGCTAATATCCTTCCAGCACATTTTAAATTTACAAATATTAATATATAGTGTACATTACAATTTTTAATGCAAACCCATCAGATAGAGCATTAAGAATATCATACGAATTAATCTGTAAGTGTTCATAACCCGACCATTTGTTCCCCCAGATTCCTAATGCTCTAAAAGAGGGAAGTAGAGTTCCTTAAATAACAAAAAAATTTAAAAGAAAATGTACAGCCCAAGTGCTCTAAAAGGGGAGACAACTGTATTATACATATATAGTAAACCCTCGAAGATCCGGACCCGGTAAATCTGGAATTCGGACAAACAATATGGAGGTTCTGGGCTAAGAAGCCTCCCTAAGAAGCATTCCCAAAACAAGGTGAAGGTAGTTTTAGGATTAAAGTTTTTATCCTATAAAATGTCACAGACTAAACTTAGCAGAACATAACCTGAATTGCTCAAATCCTTGTAAGATAGCAAATAACTTGAGTACAGACATCACATAGTTTGCAGAAGATAAAAAAAAAGTTAGTCCTTTAGTGTCGTACATACAAAATGAGTACAGCAACATGTTGCTCAAAATTATGGCTTTTTCACAGGAAAGAGTCTGTATAACTAACCCCAGTAGTCAGGATAATGTGTACTGCATCTTTGGTGTTTTTTTATATCATAATTTATCGTTTTTATACATTTAATACATTCACCAGAAGATTCGGACAATCGGCTTTTTCGGACAGGTGCCCCCCTTTTAGTCCAGATCTTCGGGGGTTCACTGTACAGTAATATCTCCGTTAGCTGGAATCCCTTAAACCCGGAACTTTCCGATATCCAGAATTGAAATTTTCTAAAAAAATCTTTTCCAAGGCCGGAATTTTCCAGAAAATTCAGGATTTGTGAACGATTTTCCGAGGGGCACATTGTCCAGAGATTTCCAAGGAAATTTTCCCTATACCTGGGAAAACTCCGGGAATGGGGGGAGATTTTTTTCCGGGTTTGAAAGATGAAAATCAGGCACATTTTCCGGAAATTTTTGAGAAAATTTTTCCGATACAGGATAACCGGAAAATTCAGGGGATGAGGGATTTTTTGCCCGGCTTTGAGAGAGTCGTCTCATTATCCGGAAGTCTCTCATTCCCGGAAGTGCTCTGCACCGATTGTTCCGGCTAACGGAGATACCACTTATATACTGTATATACAGTATAGTGAAAAATAAAGAACAGGTGTGGTAAACATAAAATATACCAGTACTACCCGACTGAAAAATCAAAACTGTGGAAGAACTTGATCTTCTACTTCCTTCAACAGCAGTCTGGCTTACCTTATTACATATACAGTACAGTAACCTCATGTTTTGAATTCTTTCTAAAAACAAAATCTAGTGACTTAACAATCAGAAGATAAACTAAAAATCAATAATATATATGCATATGAATTTTAGTTATGAATATGAATTTAAGTTTACACCTAAAACTACGAGTTATACGCAATGCATTATCACACCTGAGGAAGGTTGCACTACAATGCAAGATGTCTGAACTGATACAAACTTGCAAGTCACCTGTTAAAGCAAGTTAAAAGGCCTCTAACTTTTGGAAAGTGTGACAAAATCCAAGGCACATGGGTCATAACAATCCTGTATGTATATCATTCAAGAATATTTGTAATTGCTAAAATATCAATTTCTGACAGACCTTAATCCTTTTACATACACTGGTAACCTCTGATAAGGAAGAATGCTTTTATTAACTTACCTGCACAGTTATCAAGAGAATCATTGCCACCCCCCTCCCCCTGCCTGTTGACCTCTGAGCGGACCCCCCTGCGCACGTACGTCTCCTCCTCCTCCCCCCCCTCTGCTGCATCCCTGCCCTCCTCGCCCTGATCCTCCTCCGCACGAGACCCAAGAATTTCTTCAAGTTCCTCCTTCATGCGCTGACGATCCTGTTCCAGCTCTCCTACATAGTGATAAGGATATTAAATACATGAATACACAATAAGGAGGATAAAGGAACCAGAGTAAGATGATATGAAGGATAAGAAAAGGAAATAAGAGGAAGTCTATTACTTCACAATACATGTACAGTAAATGTTAAATTTGGGTTTAGAACCAATACTTTCCCTGTAATGATACATATCATCCTTGCATTCCCCACACACATAATGTCCACCACAACAATTACCTTCTTTTCCCTTAATGGATTCCCTTTATCATGTTTATAAATTTTTTATATATGGATGACAAAGCACAAAATGAGGAGTCTCTTCCATTTTGCCTATCGTATATACTCGAGTACAGCTCGAGTTTTTATGAAAAAAATTTTATGCAAAAAGTAGGGGTCAAACTATATATGCAACAAATTTTTCAGGAATTAAAATTCATTTATTTCCATGGGTCATTTATGGTGAGTGATGGCCACCCAGGCACATGCTCACAGTAGGCAAACCTTACCAGTAAGCTCCTATGACCAAGCCTTGCCTACCATTTCTCTAGATTCTTTCTTTATGTTACTACATGAAGAGCATTACCTCATTCACTATATAATATATGCCGTTTTAAATCAACAAAACGTGTATAAATGAAGATTTACATATAATTTTCCCGTTGTTTGAGTCTGTTAACAACTTAACAGCACTAGTGGCATTGCTGCCAAGTTAAACAGGCCATTGAAGCCACATCCCCCTAACTCTCTCTTTATCAGGCCAAGCTGTGACCTATAAGTGTTATGGTTATTTTTCAACTCATAATTTGAGTACATACACAGTATGTAATTTTCTTCAATCTATTTTTTTTTACTTAGTTACATGCACACACAATATTACCTAACAGAATGTGCCCCCCCTCACCAAAAAATAAAAATAAATACAAAGAAAATCATTATCATAAGGTCAAATGCATAAAGGTAATAAACATTTGAGGCATTGCATGGAAAAACTAACACAAGCACCATTCTCATTTTTTGTCAGGAAATGCATTCAAAGTTTGCAACATTCAGAAATTGATAACACGGAAAGTATTCTAGTTAGAATGTTGCTGTTTGCTTTAAAATGAAGCTGAATGTTTGTAAATTATGCAAATAAATTTTTGCAACGATACTGTTAACCTCAGCTTACCAAACCCAAAATAATGTTTCCTTTATGTTTTGTAATAAAAACTCTGGTAAATATTTTTGTTTTCCAATCATGATTATCATAATAAAAATACACCCTAAATTGGTTTCCCACTGTGGGAGGTTTCACTGTCATCAGGCTCTGGGACACCGATTCCCTAGGTGGCTTCTGAGAATAAAACATTACTGAAGGGAAGCCTCCAATCGAAGTAGAGGGCTCAGGCTGGGCCTCAACGTAGTCACTAACACTTGACATTGTTGTGTAGTGACAATACACAACCACATTTGGCGATATTAATAAAGAAAAGCATGCCCCCTTAGCACGAGATGCACCTCCTCTACACTCAAGTTTCAAGACAAGGACTGAAAAAATTGCGCCACGAGCCCTGTCCGGCATGCAGTTCTGCTTGCTGATTGGCTGCCTCCCCCAATAAAACTCCCTTCTTGCCCACAAACACACTTACAGCCTTATGATAATAAGGCCGTAGGTTTCACACAAAGAATTTGGCGGATGTGATACATTTACCCAGCAAAAATGGTCAAAAATGTCGCTTAGATGAGATATGGACCAGAGTTAGGTTTTTGTCTATGGACTTTTAACTATATGATCATTGGTATTTTTGCACTTCATCCATCACCTCATGAAAATAGGGTGTTTTAAGAACCATTTGCAGTCATGAACATGATTGTGGCCTGGGTGGCACTTGTGCTAGTTTCTCCACACAACGCCTCATTTCTTTGTGTGCAAGAGTTGGCACGCTAAGCGGGGAAGGTGGGTCGGCAGTGTGCAGGTTCTCAGCTGTCTCCTGTGTGTAATGAAATTATTGACAAATATTTTGTCATCCAGCAGGCAAATGGCAATACAGTACCTGTGCAGTATTTTCATATTTTATTTTACAGTACAGGTGCTGGTTACTGGTGGGAATTCAGTTTCTGAGTTGGTAACACTGTTCATAGCATCAACTGTTATACAAAATATGTCAAGGATTATACTCTGTATTTCACAAAAGCTAGGGTTGAATTGTACAAAAGGTACTGTATATGAAAATCTAAGAGATTCTTTTTTTTTTACCCAAAATTCTGAGGTCGAAGTATATGAGATCAGTTTATACATGAATATATAAGGTATACAATTCTTAGATTTACCTCCTCTTCCTTTGATTCACTCTTCCAACCCTAAAGATGGCAAACAATAAGGACATCCTTTCTTGAAATTCCCAAACTGTAGATTTTTTGTTTATTCATCCTTTCCCAAGTCAATTTAGTGAGTGGCAGCTGAGTGGATACAACAACTATCTCCTGTCATGGGTTCATGCCTGCTCCGGGGCACCCCCAGACCCCAGTTTAACCTAAATTTACAGTTGGAAAAGTGAAGGATGTCAAGTCCAGTGCCAGCCATACTGCCCTAATGGATAATCAGACATATGGCACCCACTTTCATGGTCGGTCACTAATTATTGGACAAGTGTGTTTCAGCAAATAATATGGTTGCTAGCCTACTTGCTTCAAAACTCTTCAATGATTTCATTTTCTTTCCTTCCATTATACTACATAATTATAAAACTGGTTGTGACCAACTGAAAAGGAAGTGGGAAAACAAAACAAGTTAAACATGGTAACCACGAAAAACTCTTTTTTTAACTCACTTAGAATGATGTCATGTGTAGCCCGCACAAGGCTGGTGGTCCTGGCACTGTGTTGGCGGGGCATCCAGAAGATGGGTGGTGTAGACTCTGTGCGTATAAACTTTGATAATTTCATCTGGTGGGCCTCCCAAACCTCATGCTACAAAAAATAAATAAATTTATATATAAATAAATAAAAAATAAAATATAATAAAATCAATATCACCAATAAAGCAAAGTTAATCTACAGTACAATTATTAAGTTACACCAGTGTTTAAGTTGATGAGTAATCAAACTACAGGTACTCTCACCAAACATGAGGATCAAATATAAATGTGCTCAATCTATGCATCTCCGAGAATATAGCATTAGCGGTAGTAATAAATTTGGAAATTGTACCATAGCCTTTATTTTATCAAAGTACAAGTACTTCATCCACATTTGCCTTATAGGAATAATAACACTCCTTAAGTAATGCACCTTTAAGAAAAGCCAACAAAAAGCATAAAAACCCAGGTGTAGAAAATTTCAAGTTGTAGTTAGGCCTGAAAGCTGAACTTTTACCTATTAAAAATTTTACTTTTGACTGCAAGATATTTTGGTCTCCGAAACTACAGTAATGAAATAAAAAAAACCTGCTTCGGTTTGCACAGTGAGCCACCCCACTTTACACCAACCATAAAAGCCCTTGGCTCATTTTAAAATTACATAAGTGAAATCTAGTCTTTCATATCATCCCCTTTCTTATACTGGCATGCATAATCTTTTATTTTGACTCACTGGTTGGGTAACATAGAACCAATTTTTTTACTAGCCTATTAGAACATGATGCAAATTGCAATTTAGCATTTTACAACCATGAACAGTGGACTATAGTAGTGCAAAATGAGTTCCTCAGAGGTTACTGCATTATAACTGACCTCCTTTACACGAGCCATCTTGACGGTTAGCCGTCGAATTTGTGCTTGCCTCTCCTTCCTTTGATTGAAAAGCTCCAGGCGTTCACGTCTAAGTTCTTCCTTTTCTGCTCGACCCTTTTCTTCCAGTTTTCTTTCAATGGCAGCACGCTGCTCTTCCTGGAGATTAAAATAATTATCTAAAAAAATACTTGATTTGTGTCCTGCACTGTCAATATACTTGAACAAGACCCAGTTAAACAAAGTGATTGTAAAGTAAACTTTAAAATTTCCAGTATTTATCAAACCAGAATTCCCAAGATACCATAATTTTCAAGGACCCCCAATACTAATTCACTTTTAAGAAACCAAAATGTAAACCGACTGTGTACAGCATGTAGCAGTAATACACAGAACCTATAGTCATTCTCCAGCATTTGAAAGATGTCTGCAAAAATTTGCACTTCCCAAATTCAAATAATAACTTACATCCTACAATGATGGCTTCAAATACTAAGAGAAAAACATGGACAATCATAAAAAACATGAGTTCTGTTAGATCTCTTTGTGTAATGTTTCAATACAAAACACAAGTACACCAGTGGCACAGCCATCTAATCCTTCAAGCAATTATTATTGTAAATTTCAAAGGAAAAATGTATAATTTTAATAGTTAAATTGTACACATATAAATAAACAAAACTAATACACAGCAAAATTCTCAACTGCATCATAAATGAATGAATACAACTACCATAATTGATCCATAATACAAGTACCCTGTACAGTACTGTATAATTCCAGACCTCGTAAAATTAAAGAATAAAAATTAACAATTGTCAGCATAAAATTTGATTTTGGGTAACTTCAAGAGGATGATTTGACAATTGTAAGTGCAACCAATTTCAAAATGAACTCTACCTTTATATTTAAATGTGCCATGAAGCACACACACTAGCTGAGAAGCTATTGTCATGGAAAAGTAAAACTATTCCCATACTAAAAAAAAAATTACCGTTTTTGCCAGCCTATAAGACATAAATTATAAATGATTTCCAAGTGCTTTTTAGGGAAAAAACATCAGATTTTGTGCATGTACAGTACTGGTAAATACAGTACAGTATATGGGGGGTACTGGAATACAGTAGGTTATCATAAGTTTTGGATTTGCAATAATACATACAAGGGATTCGTGCATTTTCACGGGTCATTACGGAAAACAATAGTTACCTGGTACATGTTCGTATGTCCTTACCAGTTAGTTCCTTTATCCTAGGCTTGCCTATCATTCCTTTATATTCTTTCTTTATGTTGCTACATGAAAAATAGAACGTCATTTGCTATATATGCCACTGTAAATCTACAAATACCTGATGCAAATGATAAATTTACTAATTATTTTATTTCCATTTGTGTTTGTTTACATTTCTGGTGGTATTGTTGCCAAGTCAGACCCACCACTGTAGCCACAACCCCCTCACCATCTCGCTGCAAGGCCAAGTGATGAGCTATGGTACGGTTATTTTTTCAACTCATCTCATATTTCAGGTAGATACACAAAACTTTCTTCTTCTTTTTTTTTACTAGGTTACATGTACACACAATCCTACCCCTGTACATGTGCAAACAAAATAAATAAATAAATAAATAATTATCATAAGGTCAATAAAATAAAGGGCATAAACATTTCTTCATGTACAGGAGTTAGCATGCTCAGCAGGTGAGGAACGGGAGCAAATACAGTAACAGGAGGACAGTCATGACCACAATAATCATAAATGTACACCCTCCTATTAATAAGAGAATGAAAAGTGGACTGCTTTAGATTTGGTATGTATATACTGTATATGAAATAATAACTATCTAACATGCCATCAATTACTAGCATGAATAATATTTAATCCAAAACTCTCCTGAACCAAAAGTGTACAGTATATACAAAACTACGGTCTAATTCATTTTTTGTGCCCCATGTCAAGTCTGCTGGAGTGAGTGAACCATTCCAATAAAATCAAAATCTTCTCGTATAGTATAACTAATATCAAAATAGTAATACATTGTTTTCTTAAAGTATAACACCACCCTACATTAAACAGGTGTCAAAATACTCCTACCTTATCTTTTTGCTTGGCTTCATCATTCTTGAAACGTTTAAGAGTACCAAGCAATGCACCAAACATGCGGCGATTCCTGAAAATACAAAAATTAATATTATATAGGGGGGTGGTTGGGAGAGTAAATGGTGCAGAATTGTTATTGTAATGGGCAAACAGTTCAATAGTCATGGGTTCAATTCACTTTTCAGAAGGTAATACTGTACATGATAAGTATGCAGTGTTTGCCAGTACAGCAATAATAAGAAAATCATGCCAGCAGCACCCTAACCGGGGCTTAAGGGTTAAGCCCAATCCTTTCATCATATAAGAGTGAGATGTTAGCTTTGGAAAGATGGTTAAGGGGTGAAGCATTACCTATTACAGAAAAGGCTCTAATCTATGAGGAGTCTGTGGGTTCACTTTGTATGTGATATGAGAATTCATGCTTGCTACATTAGCCTCTGGTTGCTATTCACACTTTTCTGGCAATCTTTTCTGACCATTTTGTATTTCAAAATATGTGTTTTCCTTGGTCTACCCGACACTTGTGGAGCATATTAGACAGATAACAGAGAACTGATATATGTTACTATGTTTCTTAAAACTTACTGTATATATTACAAGATATATCGACTATTATACCGTATACAAGATACAGTATATAAACTACTGTACCTCCAAATCATACTCTTCAAAATGAGAAAAATTAAATAAAAATTGCAAGGTACATTATCATCATTTTAACAAAATCAGGATAAACCTTAAACTGACCTGTCTCGTGAAGCTCTGTCCTTAGTCAATTCTGCTGCAGCTTCAGTACGAGACTTGGTGTCTGGCTGTGGGCGCGCAACAGACGAGGCCAGAGATGGCTGTTGGTAAAGAAACCAAAACATTACCTTTCTGTACTTTAACTGCTGCTAATTACTTAGTATTGTTTGGGAAGAATTTTGAATGTTGTACACAATATGAATAACGGACTACTGTACAGTATACTTAATCATTTGAATTGCCTGCAAAATTATTATCATACGATGAACCTTAGATTGGTAAAATAGATTTCAGCATTAAATACAGTTTCATTTACCCAAGCATTCCAGTCAAGACAATGGTAATGTGACAACAACAAAACTTCTGTGCAAATGCATTTAGGCATAAACCTTAAACTGCTTATAATGAAAATGACTATAATGACTCTGAAGGGGATATACCATAAACCCTTTGTACCTCAACCAGGTATACCAAATGTGGTCTTATAATGATGAGATATATCTGTGACATCACTTTGGGGGTGTCAGATAGATATTGATACAATATAGTGTACATTGTATAAAATCAATCATCGCCTCATCGGTTACCCTAAATTTATCAGAATAAATACCAAACGAGGTCTCACAACTCATTAGTTTATAGGCCCAGAAAACTCATAATAAAAATCAATATCAATGTTGTTTTCATACTGAAGCTTTAAACTATATATATTTTTCTACTAAAAATCTCATGAACATCCATAAACCAAGAGCACATTAAATACAATTGTCATTAAATTAAATTTGACCTGAATCTTGTAGAGTAAATCGCAGACAAGATGATTATTCCACTTTCATGGATTCAATGATAATCCTTTCAGAACAAAATCAGAATTTCTAACTTCAATCTTGGGTTAAACTTACTTTAACAGAGAAAAAACAGCATTGTAATTACAAGCCTTTTTCTGATATGCCACACAGTAGCCAGAATGAGGGCAAACACAGCCCACTCAATGCCATGCTCTCCTACCAATTGTGTGTACTATAGCTGTTTCATTGATGTTCATCCCCTCCACTTCTCATACTAGACCATCATTTATTCTCCTTTTTGAGCTTTTCCCCTTACTACTATTTACTTCTGAATTATGCAATCTTTTTACCAATTTTTCATATCCTATCTTCTCAATATAACATCTCGGCAAACCCTGTCACCTTTCTAAATATGGAAAGTAATACCTATATGGACTGTTAATGACATGCAATGCACCTTGCATGACAATTGAGCAGTTAACAAAAAGCAGAATATATATATTGTACAGTACAGTGGTCCCTCGGTTAACGAACGGTTCGATTAATGAAATTTCAGTTAACGAATTAGCTCCCAAAAGAATTTTCAGTTCGATTAAAGAAAAATTTCGATTAATGAAATCCTTACGACAAACACATTTTGTTGTGCGCATCAGCTGATCGGCCAGTCCGCCAATATAGTAATCAGTTCTATGTTTACATTCATTTCCAGTGGCGTAAATATTAAGAAAGTTATGCTCTTTAATATTTCTGCATTTTTTATATTAAAATTATTGGTCATTCTGAAATTTATTTAACATATTAATAATATATACAGTACTACAGGGAACAGTTTTTGTGCGCCCATCAGCTGATTGAATCACCCAACAACGCTTCTTAGTTTAACTTTGTTTACAGTGGAGTGAACATCCAGTTTGTTGGTCTCTTGAATAATTTTTTTTCATTTTTACATTAAAATTATTGGTGGTTCTGAAATTCAGTTAACATATTGACAATATACAGTGCAGAAATTATTATGAAACACGAAGAAGGCATTAGAACCAACGCACTCTGTAAAGAATATGACATGTATTCATCGACTGCCTCTACAATCAGCTGTTTGATATGTAAACAAAGCTGCCGGGAATACGACAGACACACCTCAAAATAAGTTAAATACAGTATTCTATTGTTTATTTATTATTATACAGTATACTGTACAGTACTGTATTTAGTTTATATTTAATGTTTTGATAATTCTATTAACAGTAAACAGTAGTACCCAGATTTACGCAGTCAATTGAACTCACAGGGTACCGCGTCAAGTGAAAACCGCGTCAAGTGAAAACCGCGTCAAGTGAACGACAGAACATATGGGATTAATTCCAATAGAGACTGGCCCGACCCCCAAACTCCACTTTTTGACGACACACAACTATGTTGTAGTAAAAATATTATCTTAACTTTATGATGGTATGCACATACAATTAATAATTAAGAGAAATATCAATAATATTAGTTTTTTTAACACTTACATTAGTAGAAAAGATGGCTGGGCACACAGGGATGAGGGGTTGGTTCCGAGGCAGAGGGCAGATTATTGGCTCTCACATGTATCACTTGTATCACTATCCACCACATAGGCTTGCAGGGCCTCTGTCAAACCCCTCAAAGTCCATACAAGTCCATATCCTAACTATCACTGACTTAGGCCGGCTGTGGTGGGTGGCGGGTGAAGAACTCAGTAATCTTTTGATGACTGGGCGACCTTGTGCGCATCCTGCCCGCGCCGCTTCCCGCGTATATGAGTAGATGCACAGCGGAAAGTGAAAGTTCGGTTCTGGCGAGGCACAGCGTAAATGAGAAATCACGGAAAGCGAAACCGCGTAAAGCGAGGTAATACTGTACAGTACTTTGATTGTGCTTATTCTGTGAGTTGGAACCAATTACCCAATAACCCAATGAAATAATAGATTCGGTTAACAAGCGACTCTGGAACAAATTGTGTTCGATAACCTAGGGACCACTGTACTGTATATTATTGCCAAAAATACAAATGAACAATTTATGAAACCAAGAGCACGGTTATACAATAATTCCTAATCCAAGACCACTATATTTCATACAAGACTATGGTTCTAACCCTTTCGCTGTGACATAATTAATTAATCAGGATATCCTGTGTGCGGACATTTTCAAAAAATAAAAGTAAAATCTTTCTAGTACAGGTAACTCGCGTTTTACGCGCATTTGATTTAAGCATGTTTGGAATAACGTGATTGTTCAAGTAATACCAAAAGGTAATTTACGCGCACCAATTTTTTAAATAACGCGCTCAAAACAGTTTAAATTTCTCCCCCGTATTCGCCTGGTCGCCTGGCAGCGGAGTCGCACGTGATGCCTAGTGAGGTGCTTGTAAGTTATTACTATAAAGTCACAGTCATATCAACATCAACGATTTTAATATTAATAATAATTATTATAATAATGTAATAATAAAGATTATTCCTACTAATGCTGAAGATAATGAAGTATTCTGTACAACAACTGTGACCACGTCCAGCAAGCTTCCCGCGTATCGCTTCCTCAGTTCACACCAGCACTACTTTTTCTCTGTGCTCTCATTTGCATTGTGTTTATCACGTACCTTTTTAGTGTTAAGGGCTGTTTTCCCCATTGAGCATGTCTGGAAAACGTCCATCTGCCTCCTCTGGGGTGCCTAAAGCTAAAAAGGCACAAAAAACAATCGCAATGGACGTGAAATTAAATGTGATCACCTACTTCAGAGGACAGCGTGTGTCGGAGGTTGGCCGCGTGCTTGGTTTAAGTGAAAGGACTGTTTGTACCCTGTACGGTATATGATGGTTCCCCTAACCTGTACCATTTACATGTACAGGATATTCTTATGGGAAAACTATGTTTAATTTACATGTTTTTGAATTAGGCGGTGGTTTTCAAGAACATAACCCCCGCGTAAAACGCAATAAGTATGTAATGAATTTCTTTTGCGGAGTTCAACTACAGGTACTGTATACATATTTCAACTTTGTCGAAAAAAATTACATTTAATACAGTCACATTTTTGCTCATCAGACCTGCACGCCAATTTTAAACCACATGATCATATACAATACAGCCACAGTGATAAGGAAAAATGTTACTGTATCATATATGATACAGACCCAGCAAAAGGGTTAAGTAACACAACAGCATCTGAATAAAGTTTGGTTAAACTATCTTCAAGGATTGAAAATTCTGGATAAGACAAAAATTTAATAAAAAATGGCTACACAATGACTATACCGTATAACACATCTCTCCTAAGTGAACCATTAGAATGCTCGAAGCGCAAAAAAAAAAACTTATTCTTCCATAAATTTTAGAATAACTTATCTTACCTTTGGTGTCTTCTCATCATTGTCAACCACCTCTTGCACTCTTCTGCCACGAGTTTCCCCATGTACCTCTGCCCTCAGGTCACCATGAGACTCAACTCTGGGATCTACCCGGTGATCACCACGGAAATCACCCCTTAGATCACCTCGGGGTCGACCCCTAGATTCCGCATGTTGCTGGTCAAGCACTACAGCTCCCAACCTGGTCAGCAATTTTTAAATATTATTAAATATAGCATGGAACAGAAATTTATTTGATATTCTAGTTAAAATAGTACAGTTAACAACCATACCTCTAATTTTAATTACTTTCTACACATAAAAAAACTAAAGTCAACAGTGTAAGGAGTGAGAACCAAATTATGCCTTTAATGGTTTTTCACACTAATGTCATTGTTTTTATACTCCATGAAGCACAGGGAAGGTTAAAGGGGAACTCCAAGTACAGTACAGCTATATTGTTCAATAACTGTATAATATTTCTGGAGATATGAGATTCTGGTACATAACGAGCCAGTTTCAGGAAAACCAAGCAGTTTGCACAGAAAGATGTCCACTACAGGTACTAGGGTCCACTGCAGGTCAATTGGTCAGTCATTATTATTTTTTTTTAAACCACGTGATGCCATCATTGTCTTGTGGCAGGTAATGTACAGTGGTCCCTCGGTTAACGAGCGCCTCGGTTAACGAGTTACCTCCCATAAGATTCATAACCTCGGTTAACGAGTTTCTTACGGGCAGACCTCAACATGTTTTCGCTTGCACTTGGCAGTCAACCAGCTGTAGTATTAGTCCGCCAATACAGTAATCGGTTCTAGGGATTAAATTCCTTACTATTTTAGTAAATATCAAGTTTATACTATTCAATAATTTTAAAAGTTTAATATTAATTTTTTTAGTCATTTTAACAATTATTGAACATAACTGAAGGTTAGGTCACTAGTTTCTGGCGCGCCATCCAACCTGTTAACACACCAAACAAGCGTTAGTGTCTCTCTGTTTTCAGTGGAGGTAACATCTTGCTTGAGACTCTCTTCAATTAAACGGTTTTTTTCTGTGTTTGTAAGAAATTATTGGTCATTTTTAAATTTATTTTACATATTGACAATATATAGCACAGTGCAGTGTTATTTTAAAGAAAATATTCTTTATTTACAGATAGTTTAAACTTAAAAGATCACGTGTTGACATTGTTTGAATCCAACATGGGGCCTAAGAGATCAAGAAAAGCGATTTCAATCCAAACCAAGCAGGAAAATATTAAGAAACATGAAGAAGGCATTAGAACAAATGCGCTATGCAAAGAATATGGCATGTCGACAATTCTTGCACAGAAAGACAAATTTAAAGAAGTGAAAGTAAGAGACAAATCTACCAGTGTTTAAAGGTAGAGCCCTAATTTCAGAAACAGAGAGGTTACTTCTCATCTGGATTAGAGAAAACAGATGAAAGGTGATTCTGAATTCATTTGTGAAAGAGCCAGGGAGATTTACGAACATTTAAAGACATATAAACCTGGTTCTTCAGGAACAGAATTTGAAGATTATCGGGCCAGCAAAGGCTGGTTCGAAAAATTTAAGAAAAGTGACATTTTCAGTGTTATTAGGCTACTAGTGCTGATAAGGAAGGGGCAGCAAAGTTTTTAGTGGAATTTAAAGAACTGATGGAAGAAGAAAATTATCTTCCACAGCAAGTGTTCAATGTGGACAAAACTGGGCTGTTCTGGAAAAAGATGCCCAAAAGAACATTCATCACCAGAGATGAAGCCTCTTTACCTGGGCAAAAACCCATGAAAGACCATCTCACTCTATTGCTTGATGCCAATGCTTCAGGGGATTTCCGACTGAAGCCTATGCTTGTCTACCACTCTGAAAACCCCAGGGTGTTCAAGCAACAGAAAGTGGTAAGAGCAAAGCTTGGAGTTTATTGGAAGTCCAACCATAAGGCATGGGTGACAAGACAGCTCTTTAATGAATGGGCTGTTCAGGTGTTTTGCCCTTCTGTCAAGAGCTACCTAACCACCAATAAACTCCCTTTAAAGGCTCTTCTCCTCATGGATAATGCTCCTGGTCATGACCCTGAACTTGCCAGAACTTTGGAGTATCAATTTGACTTTTTGAAAGTGTTGTTTTTGCCTACATCAATCATACAGCCAATGGACCAGAATGTGATCACCAACTTCAAGAAGTTATACATGAAGAAAATGTTTAGGAGGTGTCATCAGGCAACTTCCAATGATCCTAAACTAACACTGAAACAGTTCTGGAAGACACAATTCAACATACTGGAGGCTGTAAAATTGATTGTGTCATCATGGCAAGAAGTCTCCACTAGATCCCTCAATTCTTCATGGAGAGCACTGTGGCCATCAGTAGTCCATGATTTTGAGGGATTTCAGGATGACACAGAGTTGGACCAGGAGATTATGTCCATTGGTCAGTCACTGGGCCTTGAAGTGGATGAGGATGATGTCGAAGAGCTTGTGATGTCTCATGAGGAGGAACTTACTCCTGATGACTTGAAGCAACTGGATGAGATGTTAGAGGCTGACAATGGTGAGGAGGAAATGGAAAGTGATGACCATATGACAACTTCAGAGTTGAAAGATGTGATTTACCACTGGGAGAAGTTCAGGGAATTGGCTTCAAAGCACCCAAATGTGGAAAAATCTGAAGTAACTTTGTGTCATGTTGAGGACACAATGGTCTCCTTCTTTAAACATAAGTTAATGATGAGGAGGAGAGATGCCCCACAGACCACAGTTGACACTTTCTTCAGTAAAAGGCAGAGGGAACAAGATGCTATCCCTCAGCCTTCCACTTCAAGAAGGAAAGAGGATGATGCTAGCCCTCAGCCTTCCACTTCAAGAAGGAGAGAGGATGTTCATGGTGGAGAATCTGTCACTCCAGAGGTTCCTGACATTTTCATGGAAGGTGACTCACCTTCCAAGAAGCAGTAAAATGCTTCTCCTCCACCTTCGCTTCCTTCTCTTCTCCCTTCTCCTCCACCTCCCACATCAAGCATCATCATCCAGGAGCCTTCTATATACACACCTCAAAGTAAGTGTAATTTTCTACCTTTTTTGTTGAATTTAGGCAATTTTCGGTGAGCTGGAACCAATTACCCAAAAACCCATTGAAACAATGGTTTCGGTTAACGAGCAACCTGCTGGAACGGATTGTGCTCGTTAACCGAGGGACCACTGTATGATTCAATAATCTCCAGTAGTTTCTACATACTGTACATTGTAATGGATAATAAAGCAATAAAAAACCCACCAGTTGGCCCTTTGTATCTAATCCAATAAACATTTGAAGGACCCTAAGGTTGTTTTGTTAATCCTTAAACTTTTGCCAAGTTTAGTGAAAAAAATCTCATGAGTTTACAAAGCCATCACTATCTCATGTACAGTACCTCATTTCATAAATTTTGTCCAAGACTGAAGAACCAAATCTTCAGCAATTTCTATGTAATAAGCAGTAATAGAAAATTGAGAACAAACAACAATCTTCCAGTCCCATATGGTTTCACAAGTACTGTACTGGACTAAAAATGGTGCCTTAAGGGGGAAAGTCAACTATCAAGAAACAGTGTACATACTAATTAAAATTACACACCCACACATGCAGGCACACACACACACTTAGCTGCTACATAACAAGCACTGAAAGAGAAGATGCTGAAGAGGGAATGCAAAACTATTCTCCCCCTTCTTACACCACTTAAGTCACTCAATACAGTATACTGGCCCTCTCAACTCTGATCATCATCATGATCATCTGTCAGTTTGGGGCAAAGCTGCTACATCTTCCTCACCACTGCCACCACCTGAGATCGCCGTCTGCAAATTGCTGTTCTGCACCATAACTGCATCCAGTCCATATGACCACACACTTATTGCTACAAGAACAGTCCCACTCCAGCCATTTAAAAAACATCAACAACTCATAGATAACGTGTTCACTCCTTGCCAATCTCCCTTTTGTACTGTAGCTACTCTGAAATTCCTTGTGAAATCACCCTCTCCCAATGTCATTATGTTATACAGTATTGTATATGTACAGTCGGGGTCAAAAGTCATGAACACTTGACAGTATTTAGCAAGTAAGTACCCGAAGATCTTAGGTATTAAGGAGTTTTATCCCATTTTGTGATTTTGGCATAATATGTGATGACAAGTAGTGTTATTAGTATATCCCAATCATATATGTATAACTCAGAAGTAGATGCCAGATATTGCTAAGTGCTCAAGACTTTTGACCCGACTGTACAACATACCAGTATGTCTTTTGTATATTTTCAGCTTATGGCTGATTTACAGACATCCAAATTAAAGAAATTTGAATTTTCATGCAATATATAATTTAAAAATTATAAAGTAGATTTGTTTACAAAATATGACTACAGCCGATTACACATTTTTTTTCAATCCAGTTTTACAAATTATAAAACTGCAGAAAAATGCTTACCTAGCAAAGACCCCCCCAGGGGGTCTTCGCTTAGTTGGAGGCTCATCCTCTCGTCCACCGGAAGAAAGGCGGATTCTCCGTAAATCTGCGCGCTGGCTGAAAAAATTTATTAATGTATAAATTACTAACTAGGATGTAGCCTCTGGGGAGGCAAAGCACACTAATGTTCAAAATTGATGGGGAACTGCCAAACTTGAGCAAGCCTATGCAGCTCTTAACACTTTCACTCAATGTATCGTTTCTGTTAAAAGGTCAAACAGTTCAGCTGTTGAATGAAGGCCACAACCTACTCGCCATTTTCTTCATACATACAGTCTTTTCGCTTGCTCCCTTTGTGCTGGTTACACTAGATAACTATGCTCAGAAAGTAAATGTTCCTCAAAAGTTACAAATGAGACATTTCAAAGTGAGTACAGTATACAATATGAACACCAAAATTGACAACAAATAGTTATGAAATGTAATAAATTCTAAAAAGTTGTACATCCAATTGAATAAATATTGCTCATTGTCATTTGGCAGTTGTGTTCCTAGGCCAGTATTGTACACTACTGAAAAAGAGAAACCAGTAAGGACTAAGACAGGTTTCCATAACACAATGGGGTTACATTCCCAGACAGAACCAAAAGTCACCCCCTCCCCCTTTATAATATTTTGTTTGCTGTTCATTTGTGGTCTATGATGTATTATCTGTACAGCTAAGTACAGTACAGAATTGTAATAAAACTACACATACTCAGGAGGGTACTGAATATTTACCATATTAAGAAAATGGAGGACAAAACAGTACAGTACTACATTAAAGGATCTTTACAAATTCAAGATTGACAAACACCATTGTTAAAAAAGAGGGTGTTTAATGCCACATTATTTGGTCAGTTTTAATAAATTTAAAGTAATGCATCATTAAAATTTGATTGGCATTTATTCCAAGTACCTGTAACAGGAACCAATATACAGTAATTTTTACAAATTGTTAAAAAATACAATATCGTTTTTTTCCAATAAATTTTAATTTATTTAAAGGATTTATGATTAGTTCATTTCTTAATAAATTTTGTCATGCAACATAGAACATTAAATATATACCAGTAGTTAACAATTATTAATAATAATACACGATTGGTATTGGTTTATAAACAATAACTATTACATGTTAAATGAAATGTGACAGACCAAACTTAGAGAATATTGTATAGAGTAACACTGAATTAACAAAAAGACCTAGAACAATGGCAGTTGTGAAAAACAGCAGTAGGAGCTGAACAAAACAGGAGGTAGGAGTAGGACTGGTAGGAGCATAAAAATACTTGGGAATTCATTTTTCATCAGGGTACAGTAGGTAACTTCAAGATGTAGTGTTAAATTGCTAACCATATTATGAAAATTGTATCCATATGCTTGGTCATAATGGCTTTGAATTTAATTTTAAAATTTAATAGTGACAGTCTTTTTAGTATCAGTGGTGATGAAAATCTACTTCTGTATAAATCATTAAAAGCATCTTGAAATAATAAAAACCAAAAAACTTATTAAAACCAGTGAAAAAAATTAATATTAAAATAATAAAAACAATTATAATTTTTGGTTTAATTCAGCCAAACCTGCTTTACATTTACTGTACAGTACTATAATGCTGTCCAAGGGCATAATATATTTTCGTATTTTTTATAATAAGCATATTTCCAGGGCACAAATGATGAGGGAAATTGCAGGGTAAAACAAAGTGAAAAAAATGATCATATGACACTTAAACAATGTCCCTACTTGCTTTGCACATGAAGAAATTAATGGTCAATTTGTAGTTTTGACCAACCACGGCTCTCAAGTTGAGCAATGTGTTTTTTTAGTGAATTAGAAAATTTTAAGACACTTTTCTTCCAAGACGTTTCCCTCACAAATGACTTAAATATACCAAGGGATCCAAGGGGGGCGGAGCCCCCTAGTTAGGTTAGGTTACCTTAGGTCATTTGAGAGGGAAACGTCATCAAAGAAAAATGTCTTAAAATTACAGAAACCATCAGAAACGCACACTGCTCAACTCGGGTGCTTTGGTTGGTTGAAACTACAAATTGAACAAATTAATTATTTTCCAAAAATATTCCTCCAAAAAATCTGCTAAGTCACCATAATTTGTCTGTATGTTTACAACTGACCTGCTTGGTCCGACCATACACTCACGTCCACAAAAAAAATAAATTACACCATTGCGCTTCAACTAAGTTGCTTTCATTGGTACCAAATATCAAAATTAAGTACTTTTTTTTTTACAGGGATTAGCCCACATGGGCACAGGTCACTGACGCCTCTTTTAAAATACTTACTATAATGATAAGACATTACTGAAAATGTTTCTAAACTTGCTGATTAGCTTGGACCCCTGTTCCAGTGTTACCATTGTTTCTCCTTTCCCATGCAAGAGTTTTCTCCTTTGAAATGGCAAGTACAACATGGCCTTTATGCCCCTTCAGGAAAATTACCAAAACAATCGGTTAAAAATTGGTGACTGACCCACAGACGAGTTATTTGTTTTGCTTTTTATTTTCTTACTTTATTTTCATCAGTGAGTTCTGATATGATAATCATTTCTTGTGGAAATGCTTCATTTGGTAGATAATTACCGTAGGTGCCCAGGCGAACACCACTTTGTCTTCTCGGTGATAATGAGGCCGAGCTCTAGAGGAGTCGTCTCTTCCCGCAGAAGTCTCATTTTTACACTGACATGTGAAGGTTGTCGCCGGTCTTATATGGACGAAATTTGCGAATTTAGGGATAAATACAAAGAGATCCTTCAGTTTTTCAAATACCACGTCATCATTCCTTTAAGTAGAAAGTATTGTTCACTGCAATACCGTGAAATAGAACTGGGTTTGTGTGCTAAGTCAGTTATTGATTGGAAACAATCATTCATCACTTCCACGACGCCGTGGTTTACGTTTCCTGCCATCTCAATAACAAAATAACAAATCACTCTGCCACCCAGACTGCATAAGCGCCGATGCTGCTGGATGGTCTCACGTCCAGAAAAACCTCAACTTACACCATATCGTATGTTCTTTCTGTTTAATATACCGGGGATCCAAAAATTAGGTAAGGTTAGGTAGGTTTGTTTGGGTAGGTTGGTGAGGTCTGTTTTTCATATCCACTAAGGTTAGGTTATGTTTATTTTAGAAAACAAACATTTCTTAACACATTTGAACAAACTACAACAGTGTACACTAATAAAAAGGTAAAATTGCGTCGTTTTTAAAATCGTTTTCTATGAATTTCGGCAGCGGGTTAGTGATCAATAATTACCAAACAATCAATGAAAAATAACACTATTTTGCAAGAACACACTACCTACGGTACGGTAGCCTAAAAATTTTAACTATTAATTTGGGATCAAAACCATGTATCTTAAAGACGAGTCATCAGTTGGACAAGCTTCTACCACAGCAAAATACAAAATACTATAACATGAACTCACAATCAAATCAAACATGCCATGTCCCCTACCTTTTTTACGTCGCAAAAAGACAGAATTTAGTATTTAAGAAATTAATATATAAATTTTCGGGATTTTATATCCTGACGCCCGACACACGAGGACAAGACGCCCATGACGAGACCCAGACACACCCTCACACCTCTGATCCAACCATTAATAACACTGCATTTACCTTGGGTCATTAAAATCCCTGCCAGTCAGCCTGCGCAGATTCTCATCAACACCTTTTAAGTCTTGCCTGGCTCTCTCTATCTCCGTTTCAATGGTTGAGACCAACGAGTGTCCACCAACAGCCGCCATCTTCACATACCGACAGCCTACGACTAACACCGGTATACCAGGGTCCTGTTCTCTTACTTGATGGTATTTTCAAATGATCAAATATACTTGTTATTCCATTATATGCCAATGAATTTATATATTAGATAAATATAAATGTTATTTCTAATATATTGTGTATTTTTAATTAGAGCACTGAATGTATTATCAATAAGTGTATTAATACGTGATGCGGATATTTTCTTAAAGCACCCGAGCATTATGGGTCCCTTAAACATTAACAGCAATAATCTAGACCTAATGACCTTAAAACTTAAACTATTGATTGTAATAGTCATTTTTTTTAACATAAAGAGAATTATTTAACCAGTGACTGAATAAACAACAACATATGTCCTAAGTCCACAGACGGCAACTTAAAATATATATTCCCAGGCTGTGTAAGGAAGCCAGTACTAATAACTGCATTGTCACACTTAGCATGTTGCAGTACAGCCAGCAGAACACCTCATAATTAAGTATGAGGCGTTCGGTTATACCTGCGTCATGCTAACACCACCACAAACGGGTAGCGACTCAGCTAGTGGGTGTAGGGTAGTACATACCTACACCTGTACATCCCACGCTATTTAGGCAGACGGGTTGTGAACTTGTGGTTACAGTGAACAGCTTTATTACTATTCTGGATGAAGGTGCCTCGAAGGCCGTATGTTCAAATCTTCGTCCATTTTGTGCCACAATGTGCGAGTCTACTTTGGGCGGGCGTTTTTTATTTATTTATTTTTATTCAATGTTCTGGGTTAGAATTCCATATTGGCTCAAATCGTGATTATCCCAATGCTTTTCCAATCGTTCCGAAATAAAAATAGGATCTTGATCTGATCAACTTCAGGGGGAGCTGCTTCATGTGATCACTAGGACAGATCCCTCAAGTTAATGGTACTTGCGCCTCCTTTTCTACTTTTACTTTTATCTTCTTCACCAAAAGATCGGCTCGTTAGCCGCTTGGGCGATCGGCCACGTCTCTGTTACGCACTGTTGGCAAGTACTGGGCATGCACCGGCTCCTGAATGTACCTGAACCTGCTCCAGTTTAGGTTTAGGAGGAAGATAGGAAGGAACTGGTTCACAAATAGGGTGGTGGACGAGTGGAACAAGCTTAGCAACTTTGTAGTAAGTGCTGGAACGCTGGAAAGTTTCAAAAGGAGGCTCGATAGATTCATGGATGATACAGTGGTAGTAACTCTCGACAGGAGCTGCCATGCACAGGCCAACCGGCCTATTGCAGACTCCTTATTTTCTTATGTTCAGTGTTGGTCAAGTTTTGTCTTGAAAGAGCTCACACTCAGTGCCGTCACACCACTTTCTGGTAGATTGTTCCAAGAGTTCACAACTCTCACTCCGAAAAAGTTTGCCATTGTACTGGATACTCTCCCCTACAACTGCTGACTGATCACTTGCCGTTCACTTACCAGCCAATCAGCAGTGAATTCCACAGTCCGGGCCTCACTCTCGGACCGCGCGGCGATTGGCCCGTTACCGCCTTCACCTCAGCCAATCAGCAGCGCCGCTCACTTCACACATCTCGGGCTGATCCTGCAGAATCATATAAATACTCCCAAGCCTAGCCTGAACAGGGGGCGCAAGCAAGATGTCACGGGTTCGATTCCCGGGCAAGCGGAAGTTGTTAAGACACTCTTCCTAGCCCCCTTGGTCCCTGTTCACCTCGCAGTAAAGTAGGTACCTGTTGTAAATTGAAAGGTTGCAAATTCGTATTCAGGGAAAGTTGTTGGAGCTTCTAAACTTGGAAAACCGTGAACATCATTCTACTCAACGCTCTCAAACCAACAAGACCTCTCAACAAGCTCCTCACCACACAACAACTCCCTAGCACTGCACTGTACATACAATATATATACTGTATACAGAAAACGCCATTGTGAGTTTCCCTTCTTACCTCCATCCTTAGTGCGAGATCTCCTACATGTACGTAAGAATGTGAGCCTTACAAAGAGAAAATAGACAAACATAGAGAAGGTTTGACAACTGGTCACATACAGTACGCTACAATTGGTGATCCCGAAGTGACGCACTCACACAAGGATGGATGAGAAACGGATCACTCTCTCAGTCTTCAATCACAACACTGAAGACTGGCTAATCCACATGGAGGAAGCTCTCATCGGCTCAACAGCTACAGACAAACAAAAGTACGTCGCCCTGATCTGTTCCCTGCCCACAGAAGTTGCCACACAAGTTGCAGAAGTCATCACCAACCCTCCAGCTGACAAAAAATTCGCAGCTCTACGAGATGCTCTCAAGAGGCGATACCAGCGGCCTGACACCAGTCTCCTGGAAGACCTATCCGACCTCTCCCTCGGCAACTCAACACCTGCACGTCTCTGGGACGAGATACGAAGACTGAACTCCCGCCACACAGACAAGCTTCCTGACACTATCCTGCACCAGCTTCACACTCAGAAGCTCCCTGCAGAGGTTCGTCTCGTCCTCTCAGCATTGGACTACTCTACTACCTCGGCGACCTATGCAGCCACGGCAGACAGAGTATTACACGAATACACTGCTGTGCGCCATGCTGCCGCAAACAACTCAGCGGCCACACAGTCACTTTCCTCCGGTCTCATCAACCAGATTAACGCTCCTCAGAGAAGTAGTATTCCACCAGACAAACAAGACTTGAAGGACCTGCTACAATCTCTACACCTCAGAATGGACACCTTCGAGCGGCTCTGCTCCTCCATGACTGCTGCTGCTCCTGTTCCTGCCCCACGCATTGTGTCCTACCAACCCTAACACCCCCATCCTGTCTCAGACCCCGCCGCCAGCCCCCAGCACAGTGTACCTACCTTTTGTTGGTACCATCAACATTTTGGTGCTAACACTAGACGCTGTGAGGCTCCCTGCAACTACACGAGGAAGCGACATCAACAGGGATTGGTAGACGCCATAACCTCCGACACTATCAAGCAGCACATCACACGCCTTACTTCTGACCTTGACCACTTCACTCCTGCTGCCCGTCACGACCAACTGCAAACACTACGACATGCAGTTTCTGCATTTAAGGCTACTGCCCTACGCCAGCCTTCCCATCGCCCTCAACACATTCATCCCGCACCTCCTTCGCCTGTCTGCCCACCATTGCCACTTGCAGCACCACCTCGCCCACAACATTTCTGGGTACCCTCTTTTCATCCTCAGGTACCTACTGCTCCTGACGTGGACCCTGCTCCTGATGAGGATCCTGCATCTAGACCTATGGACCCAGACACCACACCAGCCTCCCCTGAGGACTTTGCACCTGCCGCAAGAGAAGCACCACATTCCTCGCCTGTTCAACCTTCTCTCATCTACAACCCTCCTTCTCCTACAGATTCCGCGTCACTAGGTGGAGTCGTCTCCCGTAGCTGCCGCCTGATCCACACCCCCGCCCGTTATGTCTCACATATGGGATACAACCCTGCCGACAACAAGTTTCCTGCAGCGCTCGGAGAGGAAGGGGAGAATTGTAGTGGATACTCTCCCCTACAACTGCTGACTGATCACTTACTGTACACGGCTAAATATGGCACTGCATCCATTGATAATCTTACGGATGCCATGCTACAGGTAACACAGTGGTTAAGGTTAGTGCATACAAAATGAGTAATGCAGTAAGGCATTAACACCGTACTGGTTTAGCCCATAAAATGCAGCTAACTTCAAGTGATGTTAGTTGTAGGGATAGCAGTTAACACCAATGGATATCATGTGCTCCAGTTTTTGCACATAAGGGGGCAGATTAGGAAATCCTTACCAAACAAATAAGGGTTGAATGCAACAGATTACTAGTGTCAAATTGAAATATTTTTATTTGGTTCAAGTGCCTGGAGTTTGTATATTTCTGAAATTTGGAGATACAGATAATAGTTTTACTATCACTGTTCACAAAAGTACTGTATAGTAAACATGAATACATTTGGTAAGCCCATGATTTACACAGAAATAAATAAGAAGTTAGGTAGGTTCCAGCCTCTCAATAGTTCCCCATAACTAGGGCTGAACTTTCAAATAAGCCAACTAGGTCTTGGCCTAATGTAGAAAAAAAAAAAAATTGGTAATTACTTGTTCTAATGCCCTGAAATTTTTTTTAACTAGTTTTGTAATGCTAATTACTCACCATCTGTGATTTTTCAAAGAAGATTTCTTCTTCTTGATGTAATAAAGTATATAAGCTTATTGATTTCCAGATTGGGCCTTGGATTTTGAAGAAAAAAAATATATAAATAAAACCTCAATATACTGTAGGTGCTCTTCAACACACTAATTAAAGACCTATGGTCAAAAACCTGTAATTTTGGCAATTGCTTTGCAATCCTAATTACAGGGGTACTAGCTACCTGTGACTTTTTTTTGCAGTTAAAGGATTCTCCATGTGTACTAAAGTATATTACACAGGTGAACTTCAAGTTCTGAGAGAAAAAAAAATTCAGCCATGAGATCACCATGGATTTTTTTAATTAAATCTCGGTATAGTACAGGTACTCCTCAACATGTTAAGGATTTAGGGTGGACACTCATACTACTTCCAAAGGCTGTGAATTTTATATGGCAAATTTGTTATTTTCTGTTTGTACTAAAGTACAGTACAGTATAACAGATTAAAATAAAATTCTGCTCAAAATATAAATACCTGTATTGGTACTCAACACACTAATTAAGGACCTGTAGTAAAATATCTACAGTATAATTTTGATTTGTTCTTCTAATGACCTAAAAAAATTTAATTAGTTTTGTAATGTTATTTACACACCACTTATTTTTTATGAAATTTTTTGGTGTTTTAATGATAATCAGGATGCAATGAATAAGTTAAGCAAAATAATTTTAAATCCTGGGAGAATGTTTTTCTACATAAATATCATCAAAGGGTAAGTTTGGGTCTTAGATTTTGAGAATTAAATTTTGCAAAAAATCTCAATTTACAGTAGATACTGTACAGTACTCTCCAACACTGATTAATCAGTGTGTTGGTGAAAAATCACATCTAATTAAATTTCTTCTCTTTTTAAAACATGTACTGTTCGGTACCAAAATAAAAAAAATTACGTCATACCCTTATTTAGTGTGTTGAACAGAGCCCTTTGTAAATTGGTGTTTGCCTCTTTGTTAGTAATTATGTACAATACAGTATACAGTGGGGTCTAATTTTGTGTAGGTCTAACATAATGATACACGTCCACACAAGCAATGCCCTTTAATATTATGTTAAAATTGTTACCAGTATATTGTACTGGACTTGCTTGACCTTTTCTTTGGGTAATCAACTTAACTTTCCAAAAATGACACACAATGTCACATAAACTGCACCTGTATTATTAATAAACATTTTAAGACAGCTCAGGACATTAATTATGGAGGTATGGGAAGCTCTGGGAGACAATGAGGGTCCAAGGCAGTGGGTGAAGGTTAGTCGGATTTGAAGCCTTCAAAATCAACTGCAGACACTTTAAAGTGACTTCAACTTCATCAGCAATCTCTAGAATGGCAGGGCCATTGTCAATGGATTCCCATTGAATTGTCGATGCATAAAATATGCGGTGTTGACAGCTTGGCAGCAGCATTTAAACTCCTGTAGGGTTTCACCATACTGTCTATCTGTGCAATGAGTTCATCACTGTGTTGCAGGCTGGGCTTGGTACTCATTAAAGCATCCTTGAGTTCTTCAATGTTGCTGAGAACTTGCATCACCTGCTGTCGAGTTGTACCACCCTCAGTCTGCTCTGGTACCGCCATACCACAAACACTGATTTAGTTTGTTGTTTTATTTTGAAGTCAAATTATATATCATATTTTGTTCTATTATTTAATACTGTATGTTATATTATTATGATGAAACAAACACCATAATAGGTTGATCATAAATTATTTTCATACGAGACTAAAATAATGAATAAATAAAAAACTGTGGAATGCAGTAACAGCCAAGTGCACAGACTTGGTTACAAAGGGGAAAGGGCATGCAACCCTTGTGGGTGGAAAAGTGACCATATCAACTTGCCCTCCCCCACCACACCCTGCCTCTACCACTCTACTTCACTTTCCACCTCCTATCTATACTCAGGTTACAGAACACTCGATTTACAGAAATTTGAGGATACAGAATGCCTCCCATAAGTACCATTATAAAAATTTTGGGGTTGTACAAGAGTTTGTTATTACAGAAGGTAACTAGTACAGCATAACACTATCTGTAGAGGATTATGTTTAAAGCAGCTGAGCGCATCCCCTTATGAGATGCCATCAGTGACTCAGTATGGGGTATAATACAGTGGTCCCTCGGTTAACGAGCACAATCCGTTCTAGAAGGTTGCTCGTTAACCGAATAACTCGTTAACCGTAACCATTGTTTCAATGGGTTTTTGGGTAATTGGTTCCAGCTCACCGAAAATTGCCTAAATTAAAAAAAATGGTAGAAAAGTTCACTTACTTTGAGATGTGTATGTAGAAGGCTCCGGGATGATGATGATGATGATGGGAATTAGAATGGGGGTGGAGGAGAAGGGAGAAGAGAAGCCATTGGGGTGGAAGAGAAGTCACCCCATGGTGCCATTTCATCCATAAAATTTTAGTTCTCTTAGTGTAATTCAAAATTATTTCCTTTAAATCAACACTGCACTGCATTATATATTGTCAATATGTAAAATAAATTTCAAAATGACCAATAATTTGCTTGCAAACACAGAAAAAAGCATTTAGTTGAAGAGAGTCTCAAGCAAGATGTTACCTCCACTGAAAAGACAAAGACTGACGCCTGTTTGGTGCGTTGCCAGGCTGGATGGCGCGCATAAAACTAGTTTCCTTACCTTCAATTATGTTCAATAATTGTTAAAATGACTAAAAAATTTAATATTAAACTTTTAAAATTATTGAATAGTATAAACCTCTTGATATTTACTAAAATGGTAAGGAATATAAGCCCTAGAACCGATTACTGTATTGGTGGACTAATACTACAGCTGGTGGACCGCCAAATGCAAGCGAAAACATGTTGAGGTCGGCTCGTAAGAAACTCGTTAATCGAGGGATTGCTCGTTAACCGAAGTTAAGAATCTTATGGAAGGTAACTCGTTAACCGAAATCTCGTTAACCGAGGGACCACTGTACAGTACATTACATGTTTACTATATGGAAGGGTCATTTTTGGCTTATAGAAAATTCGGCTTGCAGATAGGGTCCAGGAACGGAACCTTTCCATAAACCAGGGAGCGCCTACAGTACACTGTACCCTTGTTAATTCGAATTTTGCCCTAATTCTTTTTTTTTTAATTAATAAACACTTTGAATTTGGAATGATTCTGAAATAACCGTGGGATTCCAAAGTCAATTATTATTACAGGAATATATTAAGGTGAATGAAATATAGGAATAAAATATGAATTATATTAATCTACAAAACTATGTATGAGTGCACAGGTGAAGGGACGGAGGACAGCTCACCACCACCCACTCCAGCAGCCCACAATCCATTTATAATAACAGCATGCAATTTCACCTCAATTCCCATATTATTTAGGTTCAGTTAGTGCCAGGTTAAATCATCATCATATAATAATTAATTTTCTCCCCCAAAATACACACATACTCTCAGATGAGCTATTGCAGTTTCTTGTTTACGGTACTGTACAGTATCAGCTCATTGTTCCTGCTCTTCCTAACAATGTTGCCAGCACTCACCACCTCCAAAGCACCGGATAAGCAAAAGATCACTAAATAAATGCCACAACGATACCCGCGCTACCCATGGCTTTCCTTTTCAGTTATAACTACGGTTACATTTCAACCAATAGCATAAGCGATAACTGAGCACGCATGACCCACATAAAATGAGACCTCACTGTAGTTAACTTTGAGTAACAGTCAGAGAATTAATGATTTCTGTATTAAAATACCTGTAAAAAATTTCATTCCTTTCCCAGAATGAGAATAATGAAACGATTAAAGAGGCTCATTCATATTTAATACATAATACAGATTTTACCACATTTTAGTGAATACATTGCAAAACTATAATATATTACACTTACAGAATTTAGAGTAAATTATTTTCAAGTGATAAAGAAATGGCAAAGTGTGGGTGTACCTGGTAATCAAGACAACCAGCTGTCTAAGTTATGGCCATACACCCAGGAACAATGGGAACCACACTCCTTACTTCATACCTGTACAGTCAACTCTTTCCATTTACCAGTACTCCAGTTGGCTACCACATAAATTCCACCAATTTAGATTTTAGTATTTAACTAATTATCCTCAGTTATATTTTGTCTGAAAAAAAACCTTTTGATTTTTGGCCTGAGGATTTAGATCTTTAATCCTTCAATAATCCAAATCAGCCAATCACACTCATGCAACAATCACCACATCAAGTGAAAAACACTTAATGATGAATCAGTTAATATGATCCCTTATAACTGTTGCACATTCATGAAAGACTGTTCCCCATGGTAGCTTGCCGAGTACACACGAGTAGATTACACGGTCAGCCATTAAAATTTGAAAATAGCCAGCATGTGTTCTCTAAGAAAATATTCTAATAAAGATCGATTGACAGGAAATACTTAATTACCTAACACACTGAAGATTTACTTTACATTTATGTACAGGTAATGAATTTATCTAAAAATCATGAAAACCCACTTTGAACTGATTTTTAACAATCACAGTATAAAATAAGAGAATTCGAGCTTTGGTGTGGGAGGGATAAATGTAACGTGTTGGAGCAGAATAGAGTTTCTAATGGTTAAACACTCATTCAATGCTAGTAAAAGCATTGGAATGTTTAAAGCTAAGTTTGATTCACATAACAGCAAAATGAAAATCAAATGTTAGAGGTCTAAGGGCTTACCAGCTTAGCTTTAAGTATTTCATAAGACAGTAATATGAGACCATCCACAACAATCATCCAATGTTCAGCAATATTGATTCGAATGGTTCCATCCCTGCCTTGAACAACCAATTCTACTCAATATTGGTTCTCATTAATTTTTGGCCATGTTTATCTTAAATTTCCGGTACTTTCATTTTGTCAACACTATCCTGCCCCAATATTACATCAATAGAATCGGCCAGTTTAGCTGCATTATGCACCCATGGCTACATCCTGCAAAATCCCTTTTATCTTTTAAATTTTATCCTAGAAGAATGGTATATACATATTACAAATGTATTTTAGTCCATAATATTTCACAGATGAAAATTAAGATAAGAAAATATTAAACAAGGTATATTCATATCCAACTTGCAATATTTGTTGCACTTTGCATCACATGGAAAATAGGTGCCATATCTAGATTATTCATATTGTAAATTGGAACAGTTGCATATATTACACTCTTTTTTCAGCACACTTAGGCACTTTTTTTTAGTCTTGGTAATTATGTTTTCACTTTTTTATTTCAACTTACAAAATTGCTAGATTCACAAACAAAAACTATTGACCTCTTTAGAAAAAAAATATGCTAAGTGAGGTTTTGACCAGCAGTCAAATTATAATTTGAATATGGTTAATTTCTAAGATATACAACAATGAGATTATGAGCATTCACTTAACAGCTCAAATTTCTCTGCCTTTAAAAATTATTTCAATCTTCCTGTCAACACAGTGGTGGTGCTGCAGCAATAAACATTTTAAATATATATATGTATATATCTATAAAGGATATTTTGTTTTGCACAGTACAAAACAAAACAAGAAATAGTGACAACAGAACTTCCTCCACAACTTGGGTCTGCTCAATCTTCCACCGAAGCTAAATGTTTGGCAGAAGATAGCTTAGGCCCAACATCCTAAAGCATCCTTTGAGGGATCAACTAGAAATAATCATCTTATATGAGCACTTAATGTTCAAATAAGAAGTATTAATGATGAAAACTTACCAATTTAAATACCAAAACTCCTAACAGTAGTTCAAAGAGGCAAAACTCTTAATTATCTATCATCTGCGGCACCTTCAAATTCCAAGTGTAAAAATAGTCACGAGTTAGATCACTCAAATGATGTTCTTGGACCAGGCCATAAGCCAGAACTCTTCTCCCGAACTCACACCTCCAATATCACAAATGGAACCGAGTGCTTCCGTCTTATCAACTAGAAAAATCTGAAAGAGGAAAAGTGGATTATCTTTCCCTCAAAATATACAGTAATTGGAAATACTGTAACTAAATTTGCAAATTTGGGAAATGGCAGAAACAAAACCCTTTTAGGGTCACGTACAGTAATGTGAACGTGGAAGTGATTGCAGTTTAATGAAAGCAACAATTTGTATTTCTTACTAGGTACATGTACTATATTATAACAAAAAGTTAATACTGTCACAGCCTCTTAGCAAACTGTGAATTATACTTGTCTATTGGCTTGAACCCCCATGTCATGCAATGGGATATGTAACGGACATCATTGTACATGAGGACTTTACACAATTTAGATTGTACCTAAACAACAAATCATCCTACTTCTTACCATTACAGTGATCATTAGCAAGAACATGCATCTTGCTTAGCCTTGTTGTCATTGGTCAGCTTGATCTGGTCTGGGAATTCATTGTAGAGTTCTACCTCAGACTCTTGGGCCAAGGCATTTCGGGCAATAGTTTGGAATGCCAGCTCAACATTAATGGCTTCTTTTGCACTTGTCTCAAAATAAGGAACCTAGAGGATGGTAATAAAAGTTGCAAATATTAATTTAACATATTCAGATAGTGAATGTAACTTTTAAAACATGGATAAAACAACAGAGTATCAAAAGGAATAATATACATCTTCAAAGTAGCCATTTCTTCATGTTATTGCCCTTGTTTAAAGTGAAATTCAGAATTATAAAAATTAAATCTATACAAATACAGTACATGTACAGGTATTCTGAAAAAGGAATAACCCTTAGTTATGTCAACCTGAACTTGTACAACTTGTTCATTTTGTTCTTGTTTGTACGCAAGACCTTTCTAAAGTCGAACCTCGCCCATTGTGCCTCCATGCAGCGCTTCCCCCACTTATTTTCACACCTATCCCTTCATCATTCTTTCCTGCTCTAAACCCCACTAAAGGAAACTAGATCATTCACCTCCTTCCCTTGGGTATAAGATTTCATGCTCTAACCATCTATTTATAGCCTCCTGAATAGTGCACCTACTTCTACTGATGACCTCTTCATTCTGTCCACAAACTCCTAACTTACCTCATTTTTACTATGACACCATTGTTGCGCTCGCTTTGTTGACACCTGGAATAAAATAAATAATTAGATGTCCACATGAATTTTATATCAACATGTATTTGATACTTTCCCTGCTATATCATTAATTCTATGGTTACCCTAATGTGCAGGGTTACCACACCAAATGACAGCATACAGTTCTGCTAGAGCTGGTGACAACATCACTAAACTGGTAACATTACTTCCCACCAGTGATTTCAGGAAACAGATGCCAAAAATGGTAAGGAGAGAGGAAAACAGTGAGAAGTAAGGAGATGCCTTACTATCAAATCTCTCCTTGTCACTATGGTACTCTCAATTATAAGAAAATTTTAGGTTTCTTCTAAATTAAATCAAACTTACCGCCCTGTTTTCCAAATCAATCTTATTTCCAAGAACAACAAATGGGAAATGGTCTGGATCCCTAGGTGACGCTTGAATAAGAAATTCATCCCTCCAGGAGTCGAGAGACTTGAATGAGTTGGGAGATGTGACATCATAACACAAAACACAACAGTCTGCTCCACGGTAGAACGCAACACCCAGTGACTGGAATCTTTCTTGTCCGGCCGTGTCCCAAATCTGCAATGATTTAAATCAGTGTTTCATTATTGGTAGACAATCCAACTTTGTCATGATCAAAACTAGTTTTCTTTGAGAAAACAAAAATTTTCATCAACAAAAGCAAATAGAGCTTTATATCCCTGTTGGTTTAGTTGTCATTGGCATTATCCAAAGTAAAATGTACACTCGCACCAAAAAGTATCGGTGCAGGGTGAGATCGACGAGTTCCAAAACGATACATATACACTGTGATATGTCGGGAAGGTTGGTAAGCGTATCCTCATAACCGCCCCCCCCTCCACTAGGTGTTGCCATATGGCTGACAATCAGGGCTGCCAACATACAGCTGGAACAACTCACCTTTCCCAATACCTATCGTTACTGGTCTGAAATTGTTCACACTACAGTATGCACTGATACTTTTTGTTGCGAGTGTACATGCAAGTTTAATTTCAGTAATGCCGTTGTCATCTCTGCATACGGAATGATAGTTAGTACCTAAGTTTCAAAAGCAACATAGTAGTTATTGTTTTGTTCACTGTTCCACAGCTTGAATTGACCACGCATTGTGCTCATATTTCACCTTAATGTGTGCCAGTAAGCCGTATAGAGATGTAGCATGGTGTGGAGTTGGCCTGGCATTGAATCTGGTTGGGTCAAATAAATATCTTAAATATATATATATATATATATATATATATATATATATATATATATATATATATATATATATATATATATATATATATATATATATATATATATATATATATATATATATATATATATATATATATATATATATATATATATATATATATATATATATATATATATATATATATATATATATATATATATATATATATATATATATATATATACTGTACAGTATAGTACAGTATATATTTTTGGGGTTGCAGTTCCTTACCCTATTGAGATACATAGAACATAACAAGATTCGATATTTATATCAAATATGGTATGACATAACTTATGAGTTTACACCTCTGCTCTAGAATGTACCAGAACATGTGTCAGGTTTAGTCAAGTCACACTCGGTGCCTTCACAACATTCCTTGGCACATTATTCCAAAGGTTCACTCTTACTCGTAAGATGTTAGTTCTGACAATCATCTGTACTTGTGGCTTTTTTAAAATATGTTTTTAGATGTCGAAACATCCAGAGGAAGAAAGTTCATCAGCTGATGAAAAAGTTTCCCTGCTCTCTACAGATGATAGAACAGGCAGCACCAAATAAAAAATAAAATAAAAATTCCATCAATCACCTCAAGTCCAGGAAGCAGTTGTTTAATAAAGTACAATTTGTTAATAAGTGTTTTGAAATTACAAGGTGTTTAAGGGAGAAAAAAATGAGTGTCTCAAAATATTTTTTTTTACTTTATCCTCTTTACCATTAGTCGGCTCTCTACCATACCATACCATATTCTCTAAATCTTTAGCTTAAGCATACCATTAAGTGTATCATTAATTATTTTTTTAAAGATTTAATATAAAATGAAGACAATCAGCTGATGACAACCTAGCACTGCCCAGAAACAGCCACAAGTTTCACAACACTCCAAGGTCTATTGCCCCATTAGTCACGTCGAGTCTGAAAAACTGCCGTCCAGATAGTAGTTGTTCAGACTCGAGGCGATTTATATTTTGCAAAGTACAATAATTTGAAATACTGGTATTAGTGTTGAAGAAAGAAAATAGGGTGTCAAAAGGATTTTTCCTTTTGTATGTTTTGGTGTGTGGTCATACACCTGACATTTCTCAATGCTTTACATAAACTAAACACAATTACTAAACTTAGCACGACAATTCTCATTCCCACTTGTGTTAAAACGGGGGACTACTCTCTTACTGCCTTGTATTATCATCAAACAATGAAGCCTTGCTGTACAGTACATGTATTCATCCTCTAGTTATTCCATAATGACTGACTGTGAAGTTGAACTACTTTTACTCCATGAAAGGTACATGATGACCTAGATGCTCCCCAAGGTAGATTAACCAGGGACACAGCCAGAAATTACATTGTAAATATGAGAGTACTGTATCACTATTTAAAATTGGTCTTATGCTTTTTATCTTTTCCAATTTTTACAATTAAACAACATGGGTATGATTTCAGTAGCCTAGCCAGTAGTAAGGAATGAACACTATACAGTTACTTGTACTATACTTACATCAATTCACTTCGTAAGTATTAATTTATAATACAGACACTGATGTCCTCGGTTATAGACACCACAAAGTTTCTCAACAAATCATAATTCATTATTTTTCTTCTCATTCTTTTATTTAATTTCTACCGCTGTCTTCATGGCTGTTAAAAAATAAAATAAAAAAAATAAAAAATTATACTACCATGTACTGTAGTTGCAAATGATATATTCACTTCAGGCAGATTTGGGGGAATTTCTGTATGCAAATTGCCTGTCACATGTTATGTTATAAAATACACTGGTTCATTACAGCATTGTCAAATTATGTACAATAACAGTAAACAGTGGTCCCTCGATTAACGAACGGTTCGATTAATGAAATTTCGGTTAACAAATTACCTCCCATAAGGATCTTCAATTCGGTTAACGAACAAAACTCCGTTTAACGAAATCCTTACGACAAACACGTTTTGTTGTGAGCATCAGCTGATGGGCTAGTCTGCCAATTCAGTAATCTGTTCTATGTTTACATTCGTTTCCAGTGGAGTATATATCAAGAAAGTTTTGTGCGCCCATCAGCCGCTTGACTCACCCACCAGGGGTCAGTTTGGCTTTGTTTACAGTGGAGTGAACATCGATTTTGTTGGGGTCTTGAAAATTTCTGCATTTTTACAATAAAATTATTGGTCATTCTGAAATTTAGTTAACATATTGATAATATATAGTGCAGTGCAGTGTTGATTTAAATAAAATAATCTTGAATTACATCTAGTGAACTTAAAATTATATTGGTGAAATTACTGCATCAAGCATGGGTCCCCTGAAAGGTGATTTCTCCTCCACCCCACTTCTAATTCCCATCATCATCATCAACCAGGAACCTTCTACATACACACCTCAAAGTAAGTGTACTTTACTGCATTTTTATTTCTTTTTTTACTTTGTATGTACTTTTCTGTGAGCTGGAACCAATTACCCAACATCCCATAGAAACAATGGATTCGATTAACGAACAACTCTGTGGAACAAATTGTGTTCGTTAACCGAAGGACCACTGAACACACTGCTGATCAGAAAAACTGGCAATATAAATTCATAAACAGGTTTTACCATGCTTTAGTTCTTACAATAATTACAGGTTTAAACAAATCATTAGAATACTGTACAGTGGTCCCTCGGTTAATGAGCACAATCCGTTCTAGAAGGTTGCTCGTTAACCGAAAAACTCGTTAACCGAAACTATTGTTTCAATGGGTTTTTGGGTAATTGGTTCCAGCTCACCGAAAATTGCCTAAATTCAATAAAAATGGTAGAAAAGTACACTTACTTTGAGGTGTGTATGTAGAAGGCTCCTGGATGATGATGATGGGAATTAGAATGGGGGTGGAGGAGAAGGGAGAAGAGAAGGCATTGGGGTGGAAGAGAAGTCACCCCATGGCGCCATTTCATCCATAAAATTTTAGTTCTCTTGGTGTAATTCAAGATTATTTTCCTTAAATCAACACTGCACTGTATTATATATTGTCAATATGTAAAATAAATGTCAAAATTACCAATAATTTGCTTGCAAACACAGAAAAAAAGCATTTAGTTGAAGAGTCTCAAGCAAGATGTTACTTCCACTGAAAAGACAGAGACTGGCGCCTGTTTGTTGTGTTGCCAGGCTGGATGGTTCGCATGAAACTAGTTTCCTTACCTTCAATTATGTTCAATAATTGTTAAAATGACTAAAGAATTTAATATTAAACTTTTAAAATTATTGACTAGTATAAACTTCTTGATATTTACTAAAATAGTATGGAATTTAAGCCCTAAAACCGATTAGTGTATTGGCGGACTAATACTACAGCTGGTGGACCGCCAAATGCTAGCCAAAACATGTTGAGGTCGGCTCGTAAGAAACTTGTTAATCGAGGGATTACTCATTAACCGAAGTTAAGAATCTTATGGAAGGTAATTCGTTAACCGAAATCTCGTTAACCGAGGCGCTCGTTAACCGAGGGATCAGTGTACAGGATAAATGTACCTATTTGTTAATCAGCTGAATTATTATTATTTTTTTAATTTTTGTGGAGGTGTACAGTTTATAATTACTGTACTGTTTTAATACCTCAAAAGTTTTCTTTTCCTGATGGACTCCATACTAACTAAACAGCTAATTATATACCAGGATATCTGGCACATCCTTACCTATGAATACTAAAGTACCAAACCTGGAACATTTTGGTGCTGAGAACAATGTTCTTCATATTCACAGCCAACTTCAATCATGACTTACCTGCATAGTGACAAGTCTGTCATCCACCATAACTTCCTTGGTGAGGAAGTCGGCACCAATTGTTGCCTTGTACTGATTGCTAAACTTCTTATTGACAAACTGGTTCATGAGAGATGTTTTGCCAACCCCAGAGTCACCCAGGATAATGACTTTCAAAAGGATCTTCTTACGAGATGCCATTCTGTGCTAAAGGAGAAGGTAAAATTAATATGGGATAAAAAAAAAAATCATTCAATACATTTCCTTGAAATTGGTTTAACAAAGGTGAATTTTTAATTGCATATGGTATTCCAGATGTTGAAATTTTCTAAATGGCAATACCATAAGGACTGATGCACTAAATTTCAATTCACTACAGATGCTCTGACAAGAAGACTCGTGCATTGTACCCATCAGGTCTATAGATCTCAAACTACGGTTAACCCTAAATAATGAGAGCTGAAACTAACAGTACTGTAACAGTAAATAAACCTTTCAGTAAGAACCATTACAGTAATTGCCTTTGATAAGACAGTTCTAAAAAGACAGCTTTTTTTTTTCCATCTTATTTTTTAGCCCACCTGGGCATAGGTAACCAACCCACATCAGGCCTACAGAAAAAAGCAGAAACAAATTGCACCATAAAAAAAATACAGAAATGGAAAAAACAATTGAGACACTATAATTGTGTGTAAATGAGGCAGAAAGTCAGTCAGATCAGCAACCTGGGATTTGGTCATAATTTTTGTGATGCCATATGGCAGCAGAGTCTACCATAAGACAACACATTATACTTCCAATATCTTCCCAGGAAGTATCACTTCCCTGTTTGAGAGCTGCCTACTACCTATTTGGAAATCAGCCCCATAAATTATAGACATACAAAAATTTAACAGCTTAATACAGTACAGTACTATATTACCATATTTGTACTTCATGAAATGCTGTACTGCACACAGACATAAGAAAAAAATACTACTACTGTACCATCTAACCATAGATAGTGAAAACTTGGGTTTAAAGAGGACAGTCTAAGCATAACTTTGGTCTATAGGAAAAAAGGGGTTAGGTTCCTTGTTTCCATTAGCTTCTGATACCTGACTACAAGAATGGTAAGTCTTATCAGATGCCCAATATAGATATAGGCTAACCCACTAAAGATGGATGTCCCAATCATTCCAATGTATTGAGAACTGGGATAAAATAATAATCAAATACTGTACATGCCTGTAAATGCACACACAATAACAGTAGTAGAACCATGCTTGACCCCCTAAAACATGGGTTCAATCCCTGGGTAGGAAGTGAGAAGGGTGACATCCAGTGTGACCCTCAGTCTGCTACTTTTCGAGGTAATCCAATTTCCTCCTGTACCAACACTGGGCAATGATGGTCACAAAGAATAGACTGACTACCTAAATGGCTAATAAATTGACAAATGATAGAAATGAAAAATTAAACATCTAGCAAGGGAGCAGAGATGGACGTCATAGAGCATGTGTGGGCACACAAGGTCAACACGTGTAAGATGGAAGAGGAACAGACCAACAATCAACTTTTGGTACATTTTAACAGACAGTGGGAACACTACAGGGGTAGATCTGAGGTGGTGCGAGACCTTGCGGCATCCATGCCGGACAGGGTACAGACCGTCATCGAAAAGGGAGCGGCTGGACCATATACTGATGAATAATCTTCATGACAACATGTATTAATCATAATTTATGTAATCTATGAGCAGATTGTTTGAATCTTAGTTTTACTTTATTTTAACTGTAAATATTTACAAAGATACTGAATGTATACAGTATAATGTTTTAAACATTAGCTAAGCAATGTTTATGGTTACCTATACTGTATAAGTATAATTAATATATTACAGTCATGCTGTTTCACCTTATTTTTCCATCCAACCCTAACCTACGGTATTATGACTTACTTCTAGCTGTGACACTTTTATATATTAATGGTGTCGATCATGTCAGCTATACTCCCATCATACCATGATTGTAAGGATCAAACCAAGGTTACATGCAGTAGACCCTATGAAAAGGTCATTATCACAGTGATAAAGCATTCTTTTACAAACCATATTATCCCTCACTTTCAGGTTTAGTATTCTGACTGTCATTGAGGGAAATTACAGCTTGGAGGATTCTGATATTATTGTTGCAAACTCCCAGCCACCAAGATGCGCTCTCTCCACAGTCTTCTATATAGTATTGTACTGTATTGTAAAGAATATGTCATGATAGTCTTATGATGATCTATCCTATTATTGTATGTCGAATAATGTAAAATTTGATTGGGAAAATTGTTTTGTGAATTTATTAAACAAAACAATGACATCCTTTCCCAGTCCGTATTGAGAAATGGAAGTATCAGAGCTCGATTTTTTAACTGCTCAGGTGACTGTTTGTGTGTTTGGGATGATGGCTAGACAATGACCAGCTGTCCTATAAGGGTGAAGCAGATTTTGCACCGTCTACCTTGACTTATCACAAACTTCTGTCTGGGACCATACACAAATACTGTATTAAAAAAATTGAAAGATCATTAGACACCAACTTCTTACTGGCAGTCACATTGGCTTCTAAAGAATATCCTCCCTATCATTGCAACCCAAAAGGAACCTAGAAGCCAACCAGTTACTCTCTCAACTGTGAAACCTGCACTACCAGTCCTGTGTTTATTAAACAGACTGCCAGCATTACAAACAAAAACAACAGCTCAGCTTGTACTGCATCTATACTCTACACCTTGACACACTTTCATCCTTAAGTGAGTATGTACAACTCCCCACCAGGGATACCCAGTCCATCTGTATATGCACCCTAGTTATGCAAGTCACTGTGAAAGACAAATACATAGCCAAATCAATTCAAGAGTTGCAAATGCTGCACTTAATAATACAGGTACCACATAAAGAATAGGGTTCATTCATTGTTTTCTGATGAAACTGGGTCCTGAGGGACATAGAGACCAAATGGGCCCCAAACGTAATAATACATATACATGTATAAAATTAGAGCTCGATTAATTTTTCATAAAAATTTTATCTACTACTGTAAAAGGACATGGGGTCAAATGGGCACCAAATAGCACTGCACTCACATTACAGTATATAGCATGAGATCAATTTGATCGTTAATTTTTTTAAGAAGAATCTCTAGTTTGAATATACAGTTGTACCCCGCTTTACGCGGTCAATTGAACCCACAGGGTACCGCGTTAAGTGAACAACAGAACATATGGGATTAATTCCAATAGAGACTGGCCCGACCCCCAAACTCCACTTTTTGACGACACACAACTATGTTGTAGTAAAAATATTATCTTAACTTTATGATGGTATGCACACACAATTAATAATTAAGAGAAATATCAATAATATAAGGTTTTTTAACACTTACATTAGTAGAAAAGATGGCTGGGCACACGGGGATGGGGGGTTGGTTCCGAGGCAGAGGGCAGATTATTGGCCCTCACCTGTATCACTTGTATCAATTGTATCACTATCCACCACAGAGGCTTGCAGGGCCTCTTTGTCAAACCCCTCAAAGTCCATATAAGTCCATATCCTCACTATAATTATCACTATCACTGACTTGGGCCGGCTGTGGTGGGTGGCAGGTGAAGAACTCGGTAATGTTTTGATGACTGGGCGACCTTGTGCGCATCGTGCCCGCGTATATGAGTAGATGAACAGCGTTAAGTGAAAGTTCGGTTCTGGCGAGGCACCGCGTATATGAGAAATCGCGTTAAGTGAAACCGCGTAAAGCGGGGTAATACTGTACTGTACAGTATATATCAACTATTGTATCTCAATAATGTTTCTATAAATTGTAGTGTATAAAAACTGCATTTATACATCATCACACAGAGATACAGTATTACAATACATACAATGATTTTAATGTGAACACCCACACCACATGCATGATGTGCAGGTAATTCCTCAAATTTTCATTCACACCGAACAGCCTTCATTCATGGCTGTTGCAGCTGCTCAATCTGGTACCCTAGGATGTGTCAATTTCCAGCACTATCCAAAACTATTTAAATGTCAATGCATTACAGTACATCCAGGGATTACTATAGATATCAAACAAATACTGTATATAGAAGACTACTTCACAAAATATTTGTTACACTGGGTCAGTTGGAGACAGCAGGCTGGTACTGTATTTACAGTACAGCCCCCTCCCCCCCTCCAAAAAAATAAATCGCGGGGGTTAGATTCTCAAAATGGTCGCGAATCGCCAAATCCAAGAATAACATCAGCTGACCGCTGGGGGGGAGGGGGTAAATGTTTGCTTGTATGCAAAGAAATGTATATTCCCTTTATGTGTTTGCCCTTAGGACAATTATTTCTTTTACCTGTTGTATGTGTGTGTGTGTGTGTGTGTGTGTGTGTGTGTGTGTGTGTGTGTGTAGGCGCACACACACTTTTACTTTTATCCTCTTCGCCACTGATCGGCTTGTTAGCCGCTTGGGCTTGGTCACGTCTCTGATTACTTTTCCTTTACCTTCTTCACCAAAAGATCAGCTCGCTAGCAGCCCGGGCGATCGATCACGTCTCTGTCACGCACTGTTGGCAAATAGTGGGCATGCACCGGCTCCTGAATGTACCTGAACCCGCTCCAGTGTTGGTCAAGTCTTGTCTTGAAAGAGCTCACACTCGGTGCCGTGTAGAGTGTTCCAAGAGTTTACACTTTTCGTCTTATTAGCTCTCCTCCTTTAGTCGACAATCTTTCTTCCCTTTCTCTTAGCCACAATGTTGCTTCACTCTCTTTTACAAGTATTTAACGGGCAATGTTCGGTGGATTTGGCATCCTGTGTACCGCCGGCAAGGCCATGGGCTCATAGCACACGTCTTGCCTGCCGTGCCCACTCTTTCTCTGTGGATGTCGGTCACACTAGAATAACCCGTTATAGTACATCCTTCTTTCCTCACACAGCCAAAATGTGGAATGCTCTGCCTTTTTCTGTGTTTCCATACTTATGCAATGTCTGGCTTTAAAAAGCTGGTTTTCCGGCATCTTTGTGGAGTAAATTAACACAGTATAACCTTTCTCTTCTCTACTTTCAAATTCTTTCTGTTCTTATTTTTTACACCCCCAGGCCCATTGTGGGTCGTTTTACCTGTGCCCGGGTCGGCTAATTCCCGAAAAAAAAATAAAAATAAAAATAAAATAAATAAATAA